ACGAGCTATTTTGAATATGAAAGTTAGTTATTTTGTTAATTCAGCATTTACTTTCTCATCAAAAATCATTCTAAAATATTAATTACCCACTATTTTCACTATTTTGAATATGAAAGTTAGTTAGTTAGTTTGTTAATTCAGCATTTATTTTATGATAAAAAATCATTCTAAAATATAAATTACCTCCTATTTTGAAAATGAAAGTTAGTTAGTTAGTTAGTTAGTTAGTTAGTTAGTTAGTTAGTTAGTTAGTTAGTTAGTTAGTTAGTTAGTTAGTTAGTTAGTTAATTCAGCATTTATTTTCTTGTCAAAAATCATTCTAAAATATTAATTACGGGCTGTTTTGAAAATGAAAGTTAATTCAGCTTTTATTTTCTCATCAAAATCATTCTAAAATATTAATTACTTGCTATTTTGAAATTGAAATTTAATTAATTTAGCATTTATTTTCTCATCAAAAATCATTCTAAATATTGATTACGGGCTATTTTGAAAATGAAAGTTAATTAAGTATTTATTTTCACGTCAAAAATCATTCTAAAATATTAATTACTTCCTATTTTGAATATAATAGTTAATTCAGCATTATTTTCTCATCAAAAATAACTCTAAATATTAATTACTCGCTATTTTGAATATGAAAGTTTATTCAGCACTTATTTTCTCATCAAAAATCATTCAAAAAATATTAATTACGTCCTATTTATTTTGAATAAGAAAGCTAATTCAGCATTATTTTCTCATCAAAAATAACTCTAAATATTAATTACTTGCTATTTTGAATATAAAAGTTATTCAGCATTAATTTTCTCATCAAAAATAATTCTAAAATATAAATTACTAGCTATATTGAACATGAAAGTTAGTTAATTCAGTATTTATTTTCTCATTAAAAATCATTCAAAAAATCTTAATTACATCCTATTTTGAATATGAAAGTTAATTGAGAATTTATTTTCTGATCAAAATCATTCTAAAATATTAATTAATTGATTACCCACTATTTTGAATATGAAAGTTAATTTAGCATTTATTTTCTTATCAAAAATCATTCTAAATTAATTACTCGCTATTTTGAATATGAAAATGAATTCAGCATTTATTTTATGATAAAAAATCATTCTAAAATATAAATTACCTCCTATTTTGAATATGAAAGTTAATTGTGTATTTATTTTCTAATAAAAAATCATTCTGAAAAATTAATTACCCACTATTTTGAATATGAAAGTTAGTTAATTCAGCATTTATTTTCTCATAAAAAATCATTCTAAAATATTATTTACTATCTATTTTCAATGTGAAAGATAATTCAGTTTTTATTTTCTTATCAAAAATCATTCTAAAATATCAATTACTCGCTATTTTGAATACAAAAGTTAGTTAATTCAACATTTATTTTCTTATTAAAGATCATTCAAAAATATTAATTACATGCTATTTTGAATATGAAAGTTATTCAGCATTTATTTTCTCATCTAAAATCATTCTAAAATTTAATTACATTCTATTTTGAATATCAAAGTTAATTCAGTATTTATTTGTTTTCTCATCAAAAATCATTCAAAAATATTAATTACGTGCTATTTTGAATTTAAAAGTTATTCAGCATTTATTTATTTTCTCATCAAAAATCATTCTCAAATATTAATTACTCGCTATTTGAATATGAAAGTTAATTAACTCAGCATTTATTTTCTCATCAAAAGTCATTCTAAAATATTAATTACTATCTATTTTGAATATGAAAGTTAATTCAGCATTTATTTTCTCATCAAAAATATTAACTACATGCTAATTTGAATATGAAAGTTATTCAGCATTATTTTCTCATTAAAAACCATGATAAAATATAAATTACTATCTATTTTGAATATTATAGTTGATTAAGAATTTATTTTCTCATCAAAAATAATTCTAAAATTTTAATTACGTCCTATTTCGAATATGAAAGTTAATTTAAGCACTCCTTGATAAAAGCATTACATGCTATTTTGAAAATATAAGCAAATTTAGTATTTTTCAAGGAAAGGACAAGATATTACAATCTAAATTAGAGGAAAGATGAATTAAGGAATATTTATAAATAGAAATATGAATCTGACCCTCTAAAAGAATATGAATATGAATTTATGATCATGATTTTCAAAGTGATTTACTTCCTTTTAAATAAAAAAATTTTTGATATATTTAAATTGACTGAATAAAATCACTTTTTTTGTGTGCGCTAAAATAGTTAAAAATAACTTAAAAAAGGAAGGAAAAGAGTAATTAATTAAAGATTAATATATGCACTTGCTATTGAAATATGATATTAAATTAATAATTTTAATTTAATGATTTTACATTTTAAGGAAATTTAAATTTGAAAATTCTTAAGATTTTACAAATTAAATTAAATAAATTACTAGCTATTCATTTTTTTAAGGAATGAATGATATTTCTTTAATTCTTAAATAATTTTTCAAAAGGAATTAATTACATGCTATTTTTTATAACATTAAAATAAATTAATGTTTTTGAAGTAAACTAATGAAAAGTGAAAATAAATAAATAAATAAATAAATAAATATACTTTCTTTTTCATAATATTTTTATTGGTTTCTGTTATAAACTTACTTATTTTTTGAATTTAAAGTTAGTTTTTTCTTTTGGCAAATCATCTTTCTTTTCCTATTTTTTAATTGGTTTCTTAAAAAAATAAAATGTTACTAATTAATTTTCTTCATCGTTTGCATCATCGTAACCTAAGGTTGATTTATTAACTAATTCTAAGATTATTCTAGTTAGGTTAATAAAATTTTAATTGTTTTATCTTATTCGCTAATTCTTTATTATAGTTAGAGATTTGTTTTCTATGATTCTTCTATTTTTGCCTCCTTTTTTACATATTATTTGGAATAAATTGAGGATATGTTAAGTTAAATTTGTTTATCAACATATAATCTATCTTGTTGGTCTTCTTTCAACTAATTATTTGTCTCCGTTGTTTGCATCATCATAACCTAAGGTTGATTCATTAACTAATTCTAAGATTATTCTAGTTAGGTTAATAAACTTTTAATCATTTCTTCTTATTCGCTAATTCTTTATTATAGTTAGAGATTTGTTTTCTATGATTCTTCTATTTTTGCCTCCTTTTTTACATATTATTTTGAATAAATTTAGGATATGTTGGTAAAATTTGGGCCTTCTATCAACTCTTAGATCAAGGTCTCTTCGCTTTTACTTTATAAAAATATAAGAAAGAGGTAGATTAATTAGAATAAAAAAACAAGCATACATAATTGGGTAAAACTTATTTGAAAAATTTCTAACAAATTCAATTTGATTTTTGAGTGAACTTGTGAACTGTTGAGTGTTTTCATCTATCGTCTCAATAAGCATTTCATCCAACTAAAATTCAAAAGAAATAATTCCCTTTAGAATAATTAAAGCCTCATTAATAGATATTCTATTCATTGGAACAAAATTAGTTAATCCTTCAATAATATATTTAAGCTATTTGTGATAAACAAAATTTTTAAATTCATCATCATAATTTAATTGCTCGTGCTTATTTGATACTAAATAACCTACTCCCTAGACCAATGTATAAATTAGATATCCTTTTTAATAATTTATTTAAATAAAAATAAGTAATTAATTTTTTATTTCATTTAATACCTAAAGAACATGCTTCGCTCTGTTTATGTTAAAAGAATAATATTACTTAGCTTTTAGAAATAATTTATCTAAAATATTTACTCTAACACTTGGTTCTAGTCTCACAGTAATGCCTAATTTTTAATATTTATCATGATAAACCTTACCTATGTATGGATCAGCTGGGTCATAACACTCTGGTGCTTGATACAAGAAGTTTCCCATCTTTCATTTTTTGAATTGAATTATTTGAATACTACTTTAATATGATAAAAATATTAGTGCATACATATTTATTGATCGAATAGCCAGAATTTTTTTCAAAGTTATCTGCCACATCAAAACCACCTTTTTAATATATTTTTTTGAAAATCAATCAAGCTTATTTGTATTTGTTAAAAATTTACAAACAACTGCATTTCCATTGTAGTCAATTAAGATACTATCCGTTTTCAGATCATTAACAAGGTAACCCTTAGAGTGAATGTAGTAGAGACCTTGAGCAATATCCTTAGCGTATTTGATTGCTGATAATTCATTCAGTCTTTTGTTTTAGAACTCTAAAATTTAGGTGAGAGTTCCTTTTTTATTAAGGTATTTAATTGTGTATTAAAAATTTTCAATTAAAGTGTTTAATTTATTTATTTATTAATTTTTAATAAATTAATATAAATTATTTCTACCTTAACATTCAGTTAGAACTAAGTAACTAAATTCATTTCCTTCAAATTAATCTATAAGACTGACTACATAAGGTGAGTCTCTACATTTTTTGAGAATTTCTACTTCTTGTTTCACTTGATTGTTAAGATCTTCGTCAAGATTACCTAGAAAATCTCTAACTTAAACACCTTTGATGGCATACCTCATGTTAGTTTTCGAATCTTTTGCTAACAAAACTAATCCCTATGCTCCATGTGCTAAAAACCTAAAATCAGAGTAGCCTTTATTAGTTAATTCACTTTTCATAGCCTAATAAATTAAAACTTATTAAGGCGTTAAATTAGGTTCTTTTATATCAGAAACTTTTGTTAATTAAGATAAAATTTAATTATAACAAAGACAGAAAGGGTAAATTATTGTCTGGATAATTTGATATTATTTTTACAGATAATAATTTCTGTATGCAAGTTTTATTTAATATTTCAATATTAATAATTAATTAATTATCAATCTATTCATAAAAAATTAATATTAATTTAAATATTTTTACTGACTAACTCAGGCTTATCGAGCATATCAATACCTTTCATTCTGTACATCTCTTTGACTTTTTTCCTCTTTTGAAGATGCAAAACAAGGTTATATTTAGCTTCTTAGGATCCTAAAATATTTTATCTGATTGTATCCATTTTTAATATCTCAATATTTTTTTTTTTCTAACAAATTAATTTGAATTAATTAATTATGTGCGAATAAACAATATTTGTTAAGCTTTTAAATGTTTATATTTTGTTAAAATCTGGTGTAAATAAATTAAATTATCTGTTCAAAGAATGTTTGACAAATTAAAATTTTTCTTTCATAAAAATTGTATTAATACGCATTAAATATTAGATCATTTTATGAATAAGATTTAAATATACCAACTTGTCATCATCTCAATCATAAAATACTGTAAAATGACATAATAAATGAAGCTATCAGACTAACATGTAAGATAAAGCAAGAAAGAAAGAAAAAACAATTTATAGCTTTAAAAAATACAAAAAAGGAAAGAATCTTAGAACTTAAGCTGAAAGTCAGTAATTGGCCTTATATTCATTTGTTTTCTATTTTAAACTAAATAATATTTATCATTAAAATTTATTTATATCTTTATTATAGTAAAAATATGAATTAAAGGCACAATAATTTTAAAGCAACAAAATCTACATATAATTTATAACATAGATGATTAAATAAAAAAACTTAGATGTAAAACTTTTCACAAATTTTGCTGTAAAATACAATCAAATTTAAGATAAAAAACAGATATTAACATTTTCATTTTCACGCCTATTTTCTAGACCAAAACAGATTAAAAGACCCTTTTCTTTTATAAATAAAATTTAAATATGATCAAGTATTGTCATATTTTCAAATATTTACAACCAACCAACAAAGCACATATGTAATTACTGAAATAGATAAAATTATTAACGTATATTAGATAAAATACCTCACCATTTTTTACAAAAACAATCAAAAGTAGGTAAATAACAAATAGCCCAAAAGCCAAATACTTTTCATATTCTTTGAAGTTTCCTCAAAAATGTATCTTTGAATAAAGCATTAGTCGATTATTTGATATGAAGAACTAATAGCTTGAAAAATATGCTATAAAAGCTAAGTAAATTTTTTTATACTTTAAACCTACTCTAAAAATAGAAGGTCGCTCGCTATAAATAAGCTGTATCTTTTAATGGAATATCCATTAAACTCATATTAATAATATTGCACAAGTTTATGCCTTTTTTTGATTATGATAAATAAATTATAAAAAAGCTATTTATCTCTTGAATTGTTTAATTATACTAGCTTTGATATAGTCATATGTAGAGCTATTTTAGCATAATTTAATTATCCTTCTATCCCTACCTAAGTATTATTTTTAATACAAGAAATGGTCTTCTTCTTAATCAAAATAATAAATAGAGAGTTATTAGAATATTTAACAGAATTTTTGATTTTCCTCCTTAAAATATCTATTTGTTTTTCTTTAAGTAGAGTTTAATTAAAAAGAAAACACATTTACATAATAATTAAGCAAGCTCACATAAAATGAAATATTGGAAATGGAATAATTGAGTGGTCAAAAAAAACAAATATGGATAAAAATAAATTATAAAATTTTAATTATGAATAATATGAATATGAGAAAAAAATAAGCGAAGAGGTTATAATATGTTTAAATACTAATTAATTACATATTGCACTTCCAAAATTAAATTCTTGCCGAAGCTGAGATGCGAGAATTTAATTAATGAATAAGCTTTTAATTAGATTAATATAATAAATAAAAATTTATTAAATTTAGGTATTTAATCCTTTTTTATTATTTTTTATAATAGTTTTTTACTACACTATTTCTTATATTTATAATTTATTTATATAGAAGTTGAAATCAAATAAATAAATAGTAAAATTTAATTAATTAATTTTTTGAAAAATTATAATTTTTTATTAAAAATTATTTACTTATTTTTTTCTTCTAGCAAGTTAGAAACCTGTTTTAAAAGTTTTATTATTTATTTTATTATACTCGAATTTATGCAATTAATAACAAGTTCTTGCAAAAAAAACTAATGAGATATGATAATAAATAAACATATTATAAATATTATAATTTCATAAATATGTATTAAATCTATTTTAATATATATTAAAATTTCTCAACTTAAATATAAAAATAAATATATTAAAATTAAAGATAATGAAATAGAAATATTAAGATTTAATAATTAATTAATGCTAGATTAACTTTTAAATTTTTTGGGATTTTTTCATCTAAAAGCAAATTTATAAATTTTTATTTGATGATTACAAAAATTTATTAGTTGTTATAAATAAATTAATTTGATATAAAAGTTAATTAATTTATAAATATGCTTTTAATTAATTAAATTTCCATAAATTTCTATTAAATATTTTAGTAAAGAATAAAAAATAAATGATATAATAGAAAAAATATTTTAACAAACTAGAAGAAGTAAATATTTACTTTTTGTTAATTAGTATTAATTCAATTTACTTTTATAAATAACAAAAGTTTTTAAGCTCTTCCCTTTAATCGTTCTAGATACTCCATATTGATCTGAATAATCAGTATATTTGATATATTAATATTATTATTATTAAGGCTTTATTTATTTAATTTTGATATGATTTACAATATTATTTTTCAAATTTAAAGTATCATCTATATTCATTCAATTTTATATATACAAATATTTTAGAATTAATTTAATTTACTTTTAATATGATTATTAATTTTTTATTATTTTATATTTTATATTTTTTCTTCATTTTTTCCTTCTAACTAAATATTAACTATATATTTTATCTTCAATATTTAAAAAGGGAAAATTAAATTAGTGATATAAATGCATCAGATTTAGGTTTTGGTTTAGGAAAGTGCACTAATCTCTCATATTTGACACTAGGTCTAGAGTAAAAACAATTTATTTGTTTTGGATTGTGATATTTTTGAAAAAAAAGTGAATTTAAAACAATATAACTAGCTAACTCTTTTAATTTAATTATTTATTTGCTTTTCATTTGATTTATTTTTCTTATTTATTCTGCTTATGTTTAATTTATTTCTTTGTTGGATTATTAATTTAACTCATTTTTTCATTTTTAGATTTTGGTTTTATTATGAATTAATTAATTCATTTCATATTTTTTCTTCATTTTTTTATAATAAATTAATTATTTATTTTTTCTTTAATATTTAAAAAGGTAAAATTAAATTGGTGATAAAGGTGCTTAAGGATTAAGTTCTGGTCTAAGAAAGTGCATTAATCTCTCAAATTTGACACTTTAACTTTAGTAAAAGCAGTTTATTGTTTTGAATTGTGATATTTTTGATAATAAAAATGAATTTAAAATAATATCATATAACTAACTCTTTTAATTTATTCATTTATGAGTTTTTCATTTGATTTATTTTTCTTTTTTTTTATTCTGCTTGTGTTTTTTTCTTTATTTCTTAGTTTGATTGTTAATTTAAGTCATTTTTTTATTTTCAAATTTATCTTTTATTATTAATTACCGTAATATACCAATTAGAGCCCCTCCCCCTCACACATATTAGAGCCCTCTCTTTAAAAAAGACTAATTTTATGAACATTTGGGGGTGGGAGGTCTAATTGGTATATACTATAATTTATTTCATGTTTTTTCTTCATTTTTCTTTCTAACTAACAAATTAACTATGTATTTTTACTTCAATATTTAAAAGGAGAAATAAAATTGGTGTAATTGGTATATAAAGCTTATTTTCTAGTTTAGAAAAGTGCACCAATCTCTCAAATTTGACACTAGATCTTTGGTAAAAACAGTTTATTTATTTTGGATTATGATATTTTTGTAAATAAAAATTAATTTAAAACAATATCATACAATTATTTTAATTAATTAATTAATTTATTTATTAGTGTTTTAAATTTTATTTATTTTTCATTTTTTATCCTGCTTGTGTTTTTTCAATTAGTTATTTCTTTGTTTGATTTTTAATTAAACTAATTTTTTTATTTTCAACTTTTACTTTTATTATTAATTAATTAATTAATTTCTTATTATTTCATATTTTTTCTTAAATTTTAAATTCTATCCAACAAATTAACTCTTTATATTTTCTTCAATATTTAAATAGGTAAAATTAAATTGGTGATGAAGGTGCATCAGGCTTAGGCTCTGGTTTAGAAAAGTGCACGAATCTCTCAAATTTGACACTTGATTTAAGGTAGAAGCAGTTTATTTGTTTTGGATTATGATATTTTTGAATATAAAAAATAATTTAAAACAATATTATATAACTTACTCTTCTAATTTATTTATTAGCTTTTTATTTGATTTATTTTTCTTTTTTTATTTATTTTGTTTGTGCTTTTTTAATTTATTTCTTAGTTTGATTGTAAATTTAACTCATTTTTTCATTATCAACTTTTGCTTATTTTATTTATTTCTTTTTATTTCATATTTTTTCTTCATTTCCTTCTAACTAATAAATTAACTCTTTATTTTCTCTTCAATTTTTAAAAAGGTCTAATTAAATTTATGCAATTGGTTCATCTGACCTAGGTGATTCTTTAGGAAAGTGCACTAATCTCTCAAATTTGACACTAGATCTTTGGTAAAACAGTTTATTTGTTTTGGATTATTATATTTTTGAAAATAAAAATTAATTTAAAACAATATCATACAATTATTTTAATTTATTTATTTATTTGTAAGAGTTTCATTTGATTTCTTTTTCTTTTTTTTTATTCTGCTTATTTTTTTTCATTTTATTTATTTCTTTGTTTGATTATTAATTTAATTATATTTTATTTTAAAATTTTACTTTTATTATTAATTAATTAATTTCTTATTTCATATTTTTTTAATTTTTTTATACTAACTAACAAATTAGCTATATATTTTTTCTTCAATATTTAAAAAGGGGGAATACAATTGGTGCAATTGGTGCATCAGTCATAGGTTATGGTTTAGGAAATTGCACTAATCTCTCAAATTTGACACTTAATCTAGAGTAAAAACAGTTTATTTATTTTGGATTGTGAAATTTTTGAATATAAAAATGAATTTAAAACAATATAACTAATAAATTCTATTAATATATTTATTTATTTATGAGATTTTAATTTTACTTATTTTATTCTGCTTGTGTTTTTTTTATATATTTATTTCTTTGTTTGATTATTAATTTATTTAATACATTTTTTCCCAACTTTTGCTTTTATTATTAATATTCATATTTTTTCTTCATTTTTTCCTTATAACTAACAAATTAACTGTATCATTTTTTTCATCAATATTTAAAAGGAGAAATTAAATTGGTTCATCAGGTGCATCATGCTTAGGTTTTGGTTTAGAAAATTGCACTAATCTCTCAAGTTTAACACTTAATCTAGGGTAAAAATAGTTTATTTGTTTTGGATTGTGATATTTTTGAATATAAAAATGAATTTAAAACAATAATACTAACTCTTTTAATTTATTTATTTATGAGCTTTTCATTTGACTTATTTTATTTTTTTTAATCCTGCTTGCGTTTTTTTATTTATTTATTTCTTTGTTTGATTGATTAATTGTTTAATTTATCTCGTTTTTTCATTTTCAACTTTTACTTTTATTATTAATTAATTAATTTCTTATTATTTAATATTTTTTCTTCATTTTATCTAAAAAAATAATTATTTATTATTTCTTAAATATTTAAAAAGGTATAATTAAATTGGTGACGAAGGTGTATTAGAACTAGGTTCTGGCTTATATAAGTGCACTAATCTCTAAAATTTGACACTTTAACTTTGGTAAAAACAGTTTATTTGTTTTTAATTGTAATATTTTTGAATATAAAAATAAATTTAAAACAAAATCGTATAGCTAAATATTTTAATTAATTTATTTATTAGCTTTTCATTTTTGATTTATTTTTCTTTTTTTTATTTTGCTTGTGTTTTATTTATTTGTTTGTTTGATTGTTAATTTAACTCATTTTTTACTTTCAACTTTAGCTTTTATTATAAATAATTAATTCATTTCTAATTATTTAATATGTTTTTTTATTTCTTCCTTCTAAAAACAAATTAATTTTATATTTTTTCTTTAATATTTAAAAAGGTCGAATTATATTGATGTTCAAGGTGCATCAGACTTAGGTTCTGGTTTAAGAAAGTGCACTAATCTCTCAAATTTGACTCTTTATCTAAGGTAAAAACAGTTTATTTGTTTTATATTATGATATTTTTGAATATAAAAATTAATTGAAAGCAATATAACTAACTACTAACTCTTTTATTTATTTATTAACTTTTTTTTGATTTATTTTTCTTTTATTTCTTATTTTACTAACATTTTTATTATTTATTGATTAAATTAATAATATTTTACTTAAAAATTTTATTCTATTAATTTATTTTTATTAATTTACACCAATTTATTTTAAAAGTAACAATAAAATCTATAGATCATAGGAATTGAAATTAAAATGTCTTAAATCAAAAAGATTAGTTACCTTAAAAATACAATATTGGTGATAAAAAAGTGGTGAAATAAGACGAAAAAATATAAATATATTTGAATACTTTTATTTAATATTCAGTTATCAGATAAAAAAACTTAAAATATAGATAGATTTTTTATTATTTTTATATTTTAGATATAATATTTTGGTAATTTAATAAATAGCTTATAAAATAAAACAAAGTTTTAGAATTAAATTTAATTAAATAAAGAAATTCCACTAAAATCAAGCAAGAAATTTAAACGATTAAAGCTTATATTAATTTTTAGTGTCATATTACCTCTTATTAAATTATATAAATGTGAAATTACTTTGTCATAGATATAAATTAGATGAATTAATAATAGAAAATATTATTTAAAATAAATAAGTAAAGATTAAATAAAAATGAAATTTTATTAAATACATATTTAGGTATAATTAATATATTTCTTAATTTTCAGAGTTACGACTATGTATTTGTCTTTAATGTATATTTATTTTTAACCGTAAAATAATTTACTCGAATAAAATATATACTATAAACTCTCTATAATAAGACCCCCCTCCCTCCCCTAATTAGAAAAAAAGGGGTCTTATAAGGATAATTAGTTAGGGTATCAAGTGAAGATTATAAGACTTAATTCTAAATGAAGATATAACAAGCATAAATATTTATGCATATATTGAAAAATTATTAAAAAAATGTTTATAAATAAATTAAGACTTCATATGGTTTGTTAACATCTTAAATCTGAGAATAGAGTATCATATACATTTTTTCATGATTAGTATTATTAAATTATTTTTGTAATACACCAATAACTATTTTTTACATTATTATTCTTTGACTAGATTAATTTAATTCCATCATAGAATCTTCTAATTTCATAATACTATTCTCTAATCAAAAGAATTTTTAATGATTTGCTAAGCAAAACTATCCATTTTATATTTTGCATTGATTTTTGTCAGTTATTATCATTTTAAAATCTTTATTTATTAATAAAATTAAAGAAAGTAAATTATTTATCTTAATTCATTTATTTTTTCTTTATTCTCAGATCATCCATCAATTAACTATTTGTAATTTAGAAAAATAAGTCTTGATGTTAAATAATCTGAATATTATTCAAATAGTTTTTTTTATTCTGAAATGTGATCAATCATTTTTATTATTTTTTCATATTGATTAACTTATTTTTCTTATTCATTCATTTTTTATTATCCATCTAATTTTTAATACTAAGTTATTCTAAAATCATAAACAAAAAAAGAACACATGGTACAAAAAATTTTTTATTAATTTTAATTTGTTCAAACAAAAAATATCTTCAAAATTATAAATTTAAAATAATTTTTTTGTATTTTTTTAATAAAATTAATTTTATCATTATTTTCATGATTGAATAAATAATACATTTTATTAATTGAAAATCGGAAGAACTATTTTACAAATAACTAAAACATACAACTAATTAAAAAAAATTTGATCTAGTTAGTTGTTAAATGGTGATTCATTATCTTTTAAATTCGATTTAATAATTAAAAACTTGTAAAAATAATATTATCAATATTTTTTTATGGATGTTTAGAACATTTTAGCATGGGAAAAAAAATTATTATTTTAGAATGATGAATATGATATCTTTTGTATAAATTTAATTATATTTCGCAAAAATAAACTATCTTAAAATATTTAAATGAATAATTAATTCATAAAGAAATACTGTGATTAATTTGGTAAGTAAATTAATATTAGATTTTATTAATGATTATTATCCAGCCAGAAAATCTTGTTGATAAGACTATGTTAGTTGATGCTTTTGGATTATTAGGATTTAAATTGATAAATAATAAATTTTACAACTTTGTTACAAAATTAAATTCAATTAATTGGTGATTGATCTTTAATTTGACATAGAATAATATAAAAAAAAGTAAAATAGAATTTTACTTTAATGAAAATGTATGTGGTTAAGAATTTATCTCATGATTCTTAATTGTTTGATGCTATGATGGTAAAGAGGATGGATCTGAGTAATCCATTAAAAATAATTTGTATCTCATCTTTTTTTTTTCTTATTTAGATTGTATTAATTTTATGATTTATCAAAAAGTTTATTACACTATCAAAAAAGCTGAATTTTTGGGAACCCATAATTTTTGATTAAGAAATTGATAATATATAGTGTATTATATATATATATATATATAACTTCATAAAAGAATTATTGAATTTAATTCAATAAAATGGGTGATTTATGACATAATCAAAATCGAATAAAATCTCAAATTTTATTTAAAATTTGAATAAAATTCTAAGAAATAAAGTAATTTATAACTTGTTACAAAAGATGAGATAGATAAAAAATTCTCAATATTAATGACAATTACTTAACCTGTTCACAATCCTATCAATGAATTATAATTTGATTGTATTAATCTTCTTCAAAAAAAAAAATATTATGTGGAATGATTTCTAGTATTTCTCCAATTATTTATCTGAATATTAGAGAAAAAATAAGAAATGATTTATTTTAATAACCATTTTTCTTAACAAAGTGCATAATTAATAATAATTACGATCTTTTAAATTTAGAATAATGGGAATTGAATGATTAAATTATTAATAAAATTTTCAAAAATAAAGTAGTTAGTGAAATATAATTAAAATTTTTATTTAAAAAAGATTAATCTGTTTTTACTAGATTGACTGAAGAAAATTTGGATTGTTTAATGCTGTATGATTATTATGATGAACAAAATTATTAATAAAATTTTTATTTCAAAAAGATTAATATATTTTTACTAGATTGAATGAAGAAAATTTGGATTGTTTAATGTTGTATGATTATTATGATGAACAAAATTATTAATAAAATTTTCAAAAATAAAGTAGTTAGTGAAATATTATTAAAACTTTTATTTCAAAAAGATTAATCTGTTTTTACTAGATTGATTGAAGAAAATTTGGATTGTTTAATGTTGTATGATTATTATGATGAACAAAATTATTAATAAAATTTTCAAAAATAAAGTAGTTAGTGAAATATTATTAAAACTTTTATTTAAAAAAGATTAATCTGTTTTTACTAGATTGACTGAAGAAAATTTGGATTGTTTAATGTTGTATGACTATTATGATGAACAAAATTATTAATAAAATTTTCAAAAATAAAGTAGTTAGTGAAATATTATTAAAATTTTTATTTCAAAAAGATTAATCTGTTTTTACTAGATTGACTTAATAAAATTTGGATTGTTTAATGTTGTATGATTATTATTATGAACAAAATTATTAATAAAATTTAAAAAAATAAAGTAGTTAGTGAAATATTATTAAAATTTTTATTTCAAAAAGATTAATATATTTTTACTAGATTGACTGAAGAAAATTTGGATTGTTTAATGTTGTATGATTATTATTATGAACAAAATTATTAATAAAATTTAAAAAAATAAAGTAGTTAGTGAAATATAATTAAAATTTTTATTTCAAAAAGATTAATCTGTTTTTACTAGATTGACTTAAGAAAATTTGGATTGTTTAATGTTGTATGATTATTATGATGAATAAAATTATTAATAAAATTTAAAAAAAAAAGTAGTTAGTGAAATATAATTAAAATTTTTATTTCAAAAAAATTAATCTGTTTTTATTAGATTGACTGAAGAAAATTTGGATTGTTTAATGTTGTATGATTGTTATGACTAACCATATCTTTGTTTTAAATTTATGTTGGAAAATGGAATTTAATACCTTGAAAAGTTAATAACAATATTTATTTATGTTTTGTGTGATTTGGAATTAATTGATATTAACAAAATACAATTTGAGATTTTACTTTAAAAAATAGATGAAGGTATCAATCTAATAAAAAAGAATAAAAGAAAAATAAATTATTAAGGATTATTGAATATTTTTTTGAGAATTGGTCGAAAAGAATAAAAAATTAAATTTTTAAAAACAATATTTAATCACATTTCCATTCATTAATTTTTATGTAGATAAGAATTGTAAAACATTTTCCAACTTAATGAATTTGTAAAAGTTAATTTTGGTTATGAAGTGATAGATTTTATTGGTTAGTAATGAGATAATAATTATCTAATTTAATCAAATATTCGTAATAAGAAATACAAAAAGATTATGAAAAAAGAACAAAAGAAATAACGAAGGAATTGTATTTAATTCTTGGTGAAATGAAAAGATTTTGTTTATTTTGTTTTAATAATTTTAAAAATACCGGTTATTATTCATTGTGCTATAAAATTTTATTGATAATATTTATAATTAATTTTAATTTATTTCAATCTTTTTAATTTTTCAATCGTTTTTAATTTTAGCTTTTTAAAAATTTTTCTTCAAAAAAATTTATTATATATTATAATATTTTCAAAATTTTTAAGTTTTTTCTTGATTAAAAATATCTAACTGCTATCATCATAAAAAATATTTTAAGTATATATTCTTGTAGAGCTTTTCGAGTTCTATCAGAATATGTCTACTAAAAAAATTATTTATTTCAATTTTTCATAAATAATTGTTGTTTCCGTTTGTTTTGGACGGGTAATAGTTAGTTAGAAAATAAATAAATAAATTAAAAGAGTTTTTTTGTTTTAAATTCTTTTTTATATTAAAAAATATCATAATCCAAAACAAATTAACTAACAGTTTTTACCTTAGAAAAAGACTTAAATTTGAGAGATTAGTACAGTTTGCTAAAGCTAAACCTAAACCTGATATACCTTAATCACCAATTTAATTCTACCTTTTTAAATATTGAAGAAAAATAAATAAATAATTAATTAATTAGTTTAAAGTAAATATGAATTATTAGAAATTAATTAATTATAAGAGCTATAGTTAAATAAAAAAATGAATTAAATTAACAAAGAAAGAAAGAAACAAGAATAAAATTAAAAAGAAAAATAAATCAAATAAAGCTAAAAAATTAATAAAGTAAAAGAGTTTTATTTTTAATTCATGTTTATGTTAAAAAATATCACAGCCTTTTAATTTTACTAGAGCTTAAGTGTCAAATTTGAGAGATTAGTACAGTTTGCTAAAGCAGAGCCTAAGCCTTATGCACCAATTGCACCACTTTAATTTCCACTTTTTATATATTGTAGTAAAAATATATAATTCATTAGTTAGTTAGAAGGAATAAATGAAGAAAAATTATTAAATAATAAGAAACGAATTAATAAATAGTCAAAGCAAAAGTAGAAAATCAAGAAAATAAATAAGTTAAATGAATTTAGAAAAAAATGCAAGAAAAGTAAAACAAAAAAATAAATGAAATAATAAGCTAAAAAATAATAAATAAATTAAAAGAGTTTTATTGTTTTAAATGAGTTTTTATATTAAAAAATATCTCAATCTAAATCAAATGAAATATTTTTACTAGAGATCAAGTGTCAAATGTGAGAGATTAGTACATTTTGCTAATGCAAAACCTAAGACTGATACACCAATTGCGCCAATTTAATTTCCACTTTTTAAAAATTAAATTACTCATAAAAATAAAAATTTCGTTTTTAAAATAAATTCATAAATATAAAATTCAAAAATTCAACCCTTATGTTACTTACATCTATAAATTATTAAAATTCTTTATTTATCCTTTATTTTAAAAGGGGATAAATTATTTGAATAATCCAAATAAAAATTTATCTCCTTACATCTCTAAAATGTATATTAATAATCAAAAAAAAAGTTGAAAGTGTAAAATGAGTTAAATTAACAATGAAAAAAAAAAATATAAGAAAAATAAATCAAATAAAAAGCTAATAAATAGCAAGTTAAAAGGGTTTTTTGTTTTAATTTCATTTTATGTAAAAAATATCTCAAACTAAAACAAATAAACTAACTGTTTTTACTAGAGATCAAGTGTTAAATTTGAGAGATTAGAGTAATTTGCTAAAGATGAACCTAAACCTGAAGCACCTTCATCACCAATTAAATTCTACCTTTTTTAAATATTGGAGAATAAATAAATAATTATTAAGTTGAAGGAAAAAAATGAAGAAAAAATACTAAATAATAAGAAATGAATTAACTAATTAATTATCAAAGTAAAAACTGAAAATGAAAAAATAAATTAAGTTAAAAAACAAAGTAAAAAATAAAAACAGAATAAAAAAGAAAAATAAATCTAAAAACCTTGTAAAAAAATAAATTTAAACTGTTTTATTATTATAAATTCATTTTTCTGTTTAGAAATATCATAATCAAAATATAAAAAAAATATTTTTACTAAAGAAGAAGTATCAAATTTGAGAGATTAGCACATCTTGCAAAACCAGAACCAAAGCCAGATGCTCCTTTGTCACCAATTTAATTTCCACTTTTTAAATATTGTATAAAAAATTAATAATTAATTAATTATTTATTTATTTAAAATGAAAAAATAAAGAACAATATGAAATAATAAGAAATTAATTATTAAATAAAAGTTGAAAATGAAAAAATAAGTTAAATAAACAAGGAAAGAAAAAAAATAGTTTGAAGAGCTAATAAAAAAATTAAATATCATTATTCAAAAATAAATTAATTGTTTTTACAATAGATTAAGAGTCAAATTTGAGAGATTAGTACAATTTGATAAAGCAGAACATAAGCCGGATGCACCTAATGCACCAATTTAATTTGAGCTGTTTAAATATTGAAGAAAAAATATATAATTTTTTATTAGTTAAAAGGAAAAAATGAAATAATAAGAAATGAATTAGTTAAAAGACAAGCAAAACTTGAAATAAAGAATGACTAGTTAAATTAACAAATAAAATAAATACAAGCAGAATTAAAAAGAAAAATAAATAAATATCTAAAACTATTAAATAAATTAACAAAATCAAAATTAAATAAATTATTTACCTAAGATCAATTGCCAATTTTGAGAGATTAGTGTATTTTTACAAAGCAGTACCTAAGCCTGATGCACCGATTTCACCAATTTAATTGCCACTAATAAAAAAAAGGTTTTTATTAAAACATATCAAAATTCAAAAATAAATAAATTTTTTTACTTGAGGTAAAATGCCAAATTTTAGAGGTTATCATTATTTGATAAAGCAGTACCTAATCCTATCACACCTTCATCATCAATATTATTATCACTTTTAAACATTTGAATAAAAAAGATTTAATTTGTTATTTTTTAGGAAAAATGAAGAAAAATATGAAATGATAAAAAATAAATAAATTAATTAATAATTAAAATAAGATGCAATTATGAAAATACAAGTTAAGTTAAAAATAAAGAAAAAAAATACAATTATAATAAAAAAAGAAATTAAATCAAATAAAAAGCTAATAAATAAATAAATAATTAATTAAAAGAGTTTCATTTTTTTAAATTCGTTTTCATATTAAAAAATTTCACAATCAAAAGCAAATAAATAAATGGTTTTTACTAAAGATCAAGTGTCAAATCTGAAAGATTAATACATCTTGCTAAAGCAGAACCTAAGTCTGTTGCACCAATCGATCCAATTAGATTACCACTTATTAAATATTGAAGAAAAAATAAATAATTAATTAGTTAGTTAGAAGAAAAAATATGAAATAATAAGATATGAATTAACTGATAATCAAAGCAAAATTTAAAATAGAAAAATGAACTAAATTAACAAAGAAACAAAAAAACAGAAGTAAAATATAATAAAAAAATTAAATCAAAAGTAATAAAAACTTAGTTAATAAATTCAAAGAGTTTTATTATTTTAATTTCTTTTTTAGATTAAAAAATATCACAATCCTAAAATAAATAAATAAATTGTTTTTTACTAGAGATGAAGTGTCAAAGTTGAAAGATTAATGCAATTTGCTAAAGCAGAGCCTAAGCCAGATATACCAAGTGCACCAATTTAATTGGAGCTTTTTAAATATTGATGAAAAAATATTCAATTAATTAGAAAGAAAAAAAAAATTATGAAATAATAGCAAAAGAATTAACTAATAATCAAAGTAAAAGTTGAAAAATGAAAAATGAGTTAAATTAAAAAATAAAGAAAAATAAAATACAAATTGAGTTAAAAAGAAAATTAAATTACATAAAAAGCTAATAATTAAGTAAATAAGTTTTATTGATTTAAATTCACTTTTAAATTAATGATGTCACAATTCAAAACAAATAAACTATTTTTACCTAAGATAAAGTTTCAAATTTGAGAGATTAGTACAGTTTGCTAAAGCAGAACCTAAATCTTATGCACCTTTATCGCCTATCAAACTATCACTTTTTAAATTTTGAAGAAAAAATAAATAATTAGTTAGTTATTGGAAATAATGAACAAAAAATATAAAATAATAAGAAAATACTTAAATAATAATAAAAGTAAAAATTGAAAATGAAAAACTTAGTTAAATAAAGAAATTAAAAAAACTCAAGCATGACAAAAAGAAAAATAAATTAAATGAAAGCTAATAAATAAATTGAAAGAGCTAGTTTTATTATTTTTAATTCATTTTTAAATTAAAAAATAATACAAATAAACTAAATAAACTGTTTTTACCTAAAATCAATAGTCAAATTTGAGAGATTAGTGCAATTTGCTAAAGCAGAACCTAAGCCAGATTCAGCTATAGAACCAATTTAATTTCCACTTTTTAATTATTGAAGAAAAAATAAATAAATAATGAATTAGTTAATTAGATGGTTAGAGAGAAAAAATATGAAATAATAAGAAATGAAAAAATTAATAACAAAAATAAAAGTTGAATATGAAAAATAAGTTAAAATAATAAAAAAATATTTTTATTAATAAAATTGAATAAATATAAATGAAAATTTCAACTTGAAAAATAAGACTGTAAGTAACTTGAATATAAAAAAAATGATATTAACAATAAAAATATTAATAAGTTAAATATACTCTTGAACAATGTGGATAACCTAATGAGATTAAAGTGAAGAGCTTAAAAACTTTTTTATTCATAAAAGTTTAAATCATATTTTTCATTAGTAAAAATAAATTATTACATCTTGAAGTTTGATGAAATATTTATTCTAATTTATCATTTATTTATTTATTCTTTCAAAAATATTGAATAGTAATTAATAGAAATTTAATTAATAATTAATAAATAAATAAATTAAAAATTGATTTAGTTTTATTTAAAAAGGTAAATAAATTATTAGATGTATCAAACATGAATTTATAAAGTCTGTTTTTAGGAACAGTTATGATAAATAAGTTAGTTTGACACTCATTAAAACATATACTTAAAAACATAGTAAGAATTTGAAATGGGTAATCAATCACATGTTAAGAAATATTAAGTAAATATGATGCTTAAATTTAAATAAAATAATTTTTAATATTATGTAGATTCTTCTGTTTAAGTCAAGTAATTAGGGGGAAATGTTTATATATTATAATCTATTTAATATTTTTTTTAGCTGTCATGATAATTTTTGCCTAATGAGAATAATAATAAAATAATAGAAAAATACCTACCTACTTGTTTGGTTTCCTACATTTGCAGATAAACAATAGTATTTAAAAAAAGGCACTTACTTTTCAATTTAACAGTATTTTAAATAGACCCAATCAATCAATACTGGAAATATAAAATAACTAATGCTTATGTATAATATTAGAATCAAAAAGTGTTGATTGATGATTTATAAGTGGGATTGAGTTCAAAAAGTTATTCTGCTTAAAAAGTACAAGAATAATGTAAGCTTCCAAATGGAACTAAAAGTAATCTATTTCAAAAGCTCTTTTTTTGTTGAATAAAAGAAATAAAAATTTTTTAATAAATAATTAAATAAATTGAAAAGTATTATGTATGTTAAATTTTTGTTTGAGATTAAATATAAATAAAATAAAATGAATATATGAAGAACTTAATACTATATAAATAATTCATCAATACATTAAATTTATATTATTGACTATATAAATATCTATCTATCTACTTTTACTAATTTAATATATTTTATCATGAGTTTTGCTATACCAAATTATTTGTAGTTATATCAATATAATCAGATAACTTCTTGTTAGGATCCACAAAGATTTTTTTATGCAAGCAGTATTCAAAACAAGGCACTCTTCTATTTAATAAAATTCTAAAAAGAAGATTGAGACCGACTATTGAATAAACGAAATACACAAACTTATTGAACATAGCATCTTTTTTACCATTTTTAGCCAAAACAAGTATATTTTATTTCAGAGGAGCTTCTATTTATTATTCTAAATATTTTTTTAAAGCAAAAATAAATAAAAAACTCTTTTATTTTAACAAATTTAATAATGTAAAATAAATTAATTTATACCACATTCAAAGATTTCTAATATTTCATATTCTTTATCTGCTTTGCTTGCTTTGGTTTCAACAAATTTTTTAAAGGTGGTAAAGAATTCTTCCGATTATTCATTACCATAAGAATAATTAGCAAAGCAAAACACTCTAAAGCATTTACTCTTAGAAAACAACTAAGAAGTATCATCTGTAGCGTCAGTAATCTAGTGAATAGGAAAGTCAAACTCTTGCTTATATGTTTCTATTTTCTTTGTTACATTTTCCATGTTACCGTTTGAGTTTCTAACTCGCTAAGTCTCTTTATGGAATGCTACTACTTTATATTTAATATGTGCTTTTACTTTTTTATACTATTCTATATATTAAGCAAATTCTTCATAAGTCATAATATTATCAAGATATCTACTAACTCCGTTTTGAGAGCAATCAGAAACATATATCATTACTAAAATCAGTGCAGCACAGATCTTCTTTATAGGATGATCTTTATTAAATATAATAAAATAACAAATAAAAATCTAAACATCAAAGTAGAAAAAACTCTATGTTAATAATTTGCTATTTATAAGGCTCGAAGAAAATATTTGGCTTTCTTAATGAATAAAAAATAATATTTTATGAGTTTTTATTGACTTAAAAACTAAAATTTTGCATAAACTCTCTTATATATTGCATTTTGATTAATCAATAGTATTTTAGAATCAAAATCTCTAGTTTAACCATTATTTAAATTTATTGTTACTAATTTTGCTTGAAAAACTACACATTCTATCTTAAATTACTTATATTATTTTGTGGTAAACTAAATCTTTATGACATTTCTTTAAATATTCAATAGTATAGAAACTATTTCTTTCATTTTTAGAAAATATTTGCTTAATATTGCTTTTAATGGTGGTCAAAATTGAAAAAAAGAAATACTGTTTAAAATAAAAATGAGAGAATGAAAGAAAGAAACAAATAAATAAATGCTCACCTAACCATTCTGTTAAATAGACTACTAAAATATAGATAAATACACTTAAAAAAATTAGCAATTAAAGGTCAACTGGCTCTAGAGTGAAAGAGTTATTCCATTTTGGTTCTATATATACGTGATTTTTTATCCCTTCTTATAATTTTTATTCTTATATCTTTTTTAAGGCGTGCTTTAGCTCACTTTTTCCAAACGTTATTTACCTTTTAAAAGTTTAACTCAGCGTTGCTGCTGTTGCTGCACTAGCTCCATTATTTTGATTATTTCCTCCTTCTTACTATTAGCTAGATGAATTTTAACCCTATTGTTACTAATGCCTTTAGTTTATTTCTTGTTGACTTGACATTTTAAGAGATACAAACAATATTTATCTAATCTTAGTTTTTTAATTAACTTAGTTTATAAATTGTATGTAATATTTTTCTAAAAATATAATTAAAATCTTTATGTTTTAGTTTATATCAATTGTATTACAAAATTGATTTACTTATAAATTATAAATAAAGAATATTTATATTCTATTTCATGTTGAATTGATCGTTTTTTATCATTTATCTTATTCAATATACTGTCCTTTAATCATTCTCAAACCATAATTTTCATTCAAATAATTAGGTATTTTTAAATAATCTATCTATAAATTAGAATTTTTAGAAGTAAGTAATAGAAAGATAGATAGATATATAACACTTTTTATTTCATCCAAAAATTAACTTAAATGCTTTTTATCATTATAATTAAGAAAATAGTTTGCAATTTATTTTCTATTAAGGTATGAATAGAGTACATCAATTTTGTAAACTTTATTGATAAAATATTGTTGATTTATTTAAAAATAATAATTACTTTAATAACATAATATACATTTTTAATATATAGAAAAGTTTAATATATAATGAATCACGAAACTTTATGTTCAGTCAGTCATTAATTTTTTGATAATAAATTTTGCCAATTCATTAGAAAATATTTTAATTGACAAGTAACAATAATTTCACTCCTGTTACTATTGTTGTTTTATATTATATTACTTTATTTTTCTTTTTGCTTGTTTCACATTTATTATTTAAAAGAAGATTTTAAGCATACATTAAAAATAGTTAAAAATAATTATATCAGGCATATTTATTCCAAACATTTTTTGCAATAAACTTAACAATAAAATTGTTCTAATAACATTTTTATCATAATAATTATATTTAGTTAATTAATTTTCATTAAAAACATAAAAAATATTAAGAAATATTTTTTTATTTTTAGCAATTGAATATAAAAATAATTACTTTATGGATTTTAATAAGTTTTAATTATTATAAGACAAACTAATAAATAAGAATATAAATAAATGAATGAATGAGTGATGCAAATTAATTATTTGATTATTTTAATTATTTAATTATCATCTTCAATTTAGGTGTTTTGAAGGCATATAATATTAATTGTTTTAATATTTATTTATTAAGTAAGATAGATTACTCCAATTGATAGATTTTAGATTAGATAAATTACTTTAATTTTAACACTAATTGTTATTTGATAATAGAAATGGTATGTGTATGCATGAATTTATGTAAGTGCTAGAAAGGGCTTTAGGCTAATTAATATAATAAATGGTTCTATATACATATAATTTTGCTAATTAATTAAGGATTTTGTTTGTTTGGTTGGTTTGGTTTGATTATTAAAAATAGTATTAATTGATTGCTAAAAGCAATAGATTGAATTAGTTGATGATTTATATAATATAATTGCAAATTTGTTATTTTGTTAAAATATACATTTACTTATTTATTTATTTTAGCTATTTCATTAACAGATTTTCAAATTTTTTTCTTTCGCAAATAATTAAGAATCAAGGCGGATTATTAATTAATTAGTTAATTAAATAATTAGTAAATCAAAGGATTTTAAACTTCAAAAGTAGATCAAAGAATTAGCTCAGTTTTTAATTAATTATTACTGAAAATGTTATGTTATAAATATCTTTTAACTTTAATAATATTTTTATTCAATAAACACTTTTTTCATCTCAAAAGGTTGGCCCTTGTTACTTTTTATTGATTTATGTTATTGCCTTAAGGCTAATTGTTGAAAGAATTCTTTTGTTATTGTCTGTATTAAAAGAATTGGTTTTCTTATTAAGCTAAAAAAGCTTATGCATTGCTCATTGATGTTTAGTAAGTCTCTTCTGATTCAGTTAAGTCTTAAAGAGGTATTCTTTCAGTGGTATTATTGTTATTAGTATTACGGTTGCTGCTGCTGCGACGTAAATTGATTGGAGAACTGCGTAGACTAGAATTTGTAGAAGAGTATTATTGAATATTCGAATACTGATTGTTAAAAAAATTCTCCTTGTTATTTTCGTATTCAAAGTCATCCTAATCTGTTATCATTTGATTTTGAATATCAGGGTTACTAAGAGACATATCAGAAGAAAAGTAATTTAAATTCGAAATCATCGCTTTCTTTTTTCTTTACCTAAATCAGTAAATTGCTAATGAATGAATGTCTTAGTTGATTTTATTTTTTTTTAAAGATGGTTTTATCTTTATATTTAATAAATATTTCAAACCAATTATAGTGTTTGCTTTCTTGACAACTCTTTGTTTGTTTGTATGTATGTATGTTCGTTTGCTTGTTTCCTTGCTTTTTGTTGCTGAATTTATTTATTAATTAATTTATATTTTGAATTGATTTATAAAATTAAGAAAACCCTTCTCTATTTAATTATCATTATTTTTTGAATGCCAAAGATTTGTGTATTTTTTTAGTTTGATTATTTAATTGATTCAATGATATTCCATCACTTTTTAAAAGCTTCTTTGTATGTTTTTAAAGAAGTTAACAAACAAACAATTTTCAAAATCATTCAAATCCATGTATCTATCTATCTTCTATTTATTATTTATCTATCTTCTTTAATTCAAATTTCAATGTATCTACCAACCTACCTACTTACCTACATAGCAAATTCCCTCTAATTTAAATAAGATCTTGTGCAACTATTTTTATTTCAAATTTAGTACAACTCAAATTATAATTTGGCAGATTAAAATTCCATAAATAGTTAAGTCGCGAACATATTTTCTATTTGAATTATTTAAATAAAAAAGTATTCAATTACGAATGAACGAGCCTCGTTTTAAATCAAATTTTAGTATTCTCCTTGATAAAAAATTTAAATTATTGATTGCAAATCAAATTTTTATTTAGTCAAATTCAAATTTGTGATTATAAATTAATTAATTGATAAATAATATTTGTTATTAACAATTTTTTTTTCTATTAACAACCAACATATTTGTTTTTCTCTTTACTTTGATATAAATCCCTCTTAAAAGCGATGTATAAAAAATAAATTTAATTTTAAATGATTTCAATTAAATTTTGCTTCTTATTTCTGTAGGATTTGTTTGAATGTCAATTTTGAATCTGTTTTTGGTTATTTTTGACTAAAAATTTAATAATTAACATAAAAATATTATATCTTTAAGCAAGTTAATTGCATAGAAATATTGATAAATAAGCAGATGCAAATAATAACAAAATTTATCAATTAACGCATAATTATTTATAATTTATTTACTCCAGACATAGAATTTTTACAAATTATAAAAAATTGCTATAGTATATTTGATATATCTTATAATAATAAATATTGAAGAATATTTTTTCTAGTTGTTATAAGTAATTTGATTTATTTTGTCTATAAAGTTAGATTTGACTTTTAAAATCCAATTAAAGACTTTAAGAATATTTTATAATTATTGATATCTATTTATTTATTTTTGGCATAATCATTCTCAACTTTTTAATCTAGAATGAGTCATAAACCAAAATAAATTTATTTAATTTAATATTTTAATGTTTTATGTAAATTTTAATCAATTTAATAGTTAGTTACATAAAATATTTTCAGCAAACCCAATTTTTGATAAAAAATGTAAGTAAAGTAAATGATATTGACTATTATTTTAGAATAAAGCATAATTACTATTTATGTACATATATTTTATTACAAAGTTGTAAGCAATTTTTAATAAATTTTGAAATGAAAAATCATTTTCTTCCTTTTCCCTTTTTATTTTTTTTAGCTCCTCCTTTATTTTATTTTTTTACTTTCTTAGGTCCCTTTTTGTTCTACTTTTTATCTACTTTAGAATGTCTTGGTTTTTTCTCTGCCTTTGGTTCTTTTTTAATTACTTTTGTTTTGCTTACTTTTTATCCTATTTGTTTTCCAAATTTTTTTCTATCATCAATATCGTCTTCTTGACCTGCTTTCTCTAATAAAGTACCGAAGTCTTCAATATCATCATCTTCATAATCGCTCTCTTCTAATCCCATTTTCTCTCTGTCTTACTCGAAATCTTATTCTAAATCTTCAATATCACCTGTATTTTTTATTTCAAAATATTAAACAATCAATAATTATTTTAAAGTATTTATTTTACCTAAATCGTCTTCATCAAAATCGTCCTCTTCTTCTTCATCAGCGCCTTCTAATTGCTCCTCTTCATCTTCTTCAGAGTCCTCATAATTATCAGGAATTTCAGCAGATTATAACTCTTCATTTTCATCGAAATCTTATTCGATGTCTTCATCATCTTCTTATTCTTCATCTTCGTTGAAATCTTCATTTTCTTAATCTTCCCCGTCTTCTTCTTCATCGAAATCGTGATACTCATCTCCTTCACCATCTTCCATATCTCCATCATCTTCATCTTGATCTTCAGACATTGAGAAAGGTTCATCTTCATCATAGAAATCACTGTCAAGCTATTCTTCAGCAAGCTAATCAGCAAAAGCGTCCATTTCAGCATCATCATTTCCGTCAACAAAATCTTCCATATCTCTCTTCTTTTATCTCTTTTCTATTCCTTCTCTCTTTTTCTACTTTTGTTAGAAGAATCTCAAAAAGAATTTTTCTTCTTCTCTAATCTTTCTTTAATCCATTTTCATAACCTAAATTATTTTTAAAAATATTTTATTTAGATGAAAAAATTATTTAGAAATGCAAACAAAAATAATGAAAAAAAATAAAATATTTTTAAAATGAAATAATAAATTATAAATAAATTATTTACATCATCAACTTATAAAGCAGATTCTAATTTAGACATTCTAATCTTTCCTTTTTATTTTAAATTCTTCATACCAACAGATTCTTTCTTTTTAGCATTCTTGAAAGAAAAACGATCCAAAAAGTTTGCAACTGTAAAATCAAGTAAAGGATTTCCTTTGTACTCAATGTTGGGTTTTTATTAACTAAGAAGAATTTCTGTGAATTTTTTGACAGTTGGGTGATTGTGATTTATAAGAACTGTTAATTCCCACAAGCAAGATTCGTTGCAGCCTGTGAAACGAGGTTCTCTCTTGAAAGCATCATAGCCCATATAATCAGCATAATTCTTTTTTTACTCTTTTTTTGTGATTTCTTTTTCTTATTCATCACCATTTTCATTTTCTTACTATTCTTAATTATTTGCTTCTTCTACTTCCATGCTTTTAGATTCATCAGCGTCTTTGAAATTTTCTTCTTCATCAGAATCTTCAACATCTTTGAAATTTTCTTCATTATCATCAAAGAAACGTTCACTTTGTTAGATCATGGTCTTTATGGTAGGTTGAGCGTTTAACAATTTAGAGATGAAAATGAGAGAAGTAATAATGAAAGGAGGTTCACAATGGATTGCATGCTTGATAAAAATAAAAATTAGTTTGTTTGTTTATTTAGATGAATTTTAAAATATAAATTTACTTGCAACAATCTTTTAACAAAACTCTTAACTCTTCCAATATCTAAGTCAGCTTTTAAAGAGAAATATAAAAGATCAAAGAAAAGTTCAGTTTGAGAAGAGTGAGTAACATCAGGGTCAATTAACATTTCATATAAAACACGATAATATCTATCAGTTAGATTATTTTCTTAGTTTTCAACTTAAAAGATGAATAGCAAAGTTTAAATTCTAATTTTAATGCTCTTAGTTTAGTGAATAAGCTTGTATAATTCATTTATTTTCTCATTAAAGAATTGTTTGTATTATTCGAACTTTATTTATTTATTTTAACAAAAAAGAAAGATTAAAATTAAATATTCATTTTATTTAAATTATTCGTTACATTTTTCTTTGTATGAGGGAATATTTTGTTGATACCTCTTAAGATCTAACTTAATATTTTTGATGCAAGCAAATCTTCTTCATTGGTTTCAATCATTTTCTTGAATAAGATAAATAGAAGCTTAATAATCTCCTTCAAAACATCATCTGCCTATATTCAAATACATAAAAATTAAATCTCTATCAAGCCAAATGCAATTATTGATTTTTATTTAAAAATCATTTTTCACTTAAAATAATAAATCATTTATCAATCAATCAATCAAAAAATCTTTAAAATTCAACCATTTATAAATGAATTTTTTGGATTTTAATTATAAAATTAAAAATTAATTCATCAAGTTTGTTTTTTATATTTTAAGCTTTTATTATCAAAACAAATAGCAAATGAAAGATAAATAAATGAAAAATGATATAAAAAAATGGAATTAATTTATTACAACAACAGCAAAATTGATGGTATTCAAGAAGTTGATTGCATAAAATTAGCTCTATATTTTAATGTTTGGTCTGAAAACAAATCTTTCAATTTCTTTAACTAGTGGCATAACAAGTTCTCCTTTTCTCTTTAATTTAAAATATATTGATGCTTAGTAAACTTTTACTTTAAATTAATTTTACAAATAATAATTTTCCTAAGTTTTAGTTAAGGATAGTGACTATCTTTTTGTCTGAGTCACCAAGCTTATTGAGAAGAGCACCTAAAATAGTCTTTTGTTAAGAAAATTACAAAATTAGTTAAATATTTTATTTAACAATTATGCTAAAATTTATTTACTTCTTGACATTCTTGTCTATGCATAACAACATCTAATAAAAGCATCAACATAGCCTTTCTGAAAAAGAATAAATTATCATTTAACTGTGCTATCAAGCTATTCACATATCTGTAAAATATTTCTTTTAACTTATGTTGATAGAAGTACTCAACAAGATCTTTATCAGAAATATTGGTTTTTCCCTTTGTATTTTGCTAAAATGTTTTTAATTCAGCATTCTTTGGCATAACAGACTCCAAAAAGATGCCTTTAAGTGCATTGTAGCTTAAAATAATGTCTTTTTTACTCTTTGTATTAGCCTATAATTAAAATTAAAACGTCATCATTTTCTATTTATCTTAAAAGAAAGTTTACAAAAGTCATTAAGTTTTCTATAGCAGGCAAAGTTGTTTTTGGGTTATCTCTAATATAAATGGAAATGGCTGAAATTTTATCCTTTAAAGTACCATCAGTCATGATTTTTTTCATCCAAGCCTCATCAGCTTTAGCTAATTTATACTTCTACAATTCCTTTTTGACCTTTTTTGTAAAAAATTATCGAATTATAGCATTTTCATTGAATTATTTTAAATGTTGAATGTTACAAATTCTTAGTAAACTCTGGATGCTCTTTCGAATATTGTCTCATTCTTGAATTATTGAGCCTTTTTCCAGTTTTCACCTGCATTGATATTTTCATCTTAATCATTAACCTAATTCTAAACGCTATTCTTGTTAGTTTTGTTTTCAACTTTATTTTAATGGTTGGCATTTTGTCCTTTCTAGTTTTAGCTACCATTTTTATTGTCCTTTTTATCTTAGTTAGTTTGTTAAGGTTTGAATTTATTGAACCTTGCCATTTTTTGTAGTTTATTTTATATCTTATTTTTATTTTTATATTGCCTTAATTTAACTTTTAATATTATATATAATTTATAGCAATTAATTCATTTATTGATAAAAAGATAATCTAACCCAATATCTATCAAAAATCTAAGTTGAACGAACACAGAAATACAATTAAATCAAAGCAAAACAAATCAAACCATTCTCATTTAATTATTTCTTTGCTTTTAATTATTCAATATAAATTATTATCAAAATTCTACTAAACATTTATCATATTTTTACCTAATAAACATATATCTTTTCAATTTTTAATTCCAATTTAAATAACATTTTATTTACAAACCCATAATTATTCATAATTAATAATTAAATTTAAAAAAGCATCTTCTTTTTTCAATATAAAGTAGAATATTAATTAATAACCTTAAAATTATTAATCGTAATATTTTTATAAACTAATATTTATGTTATTTTTATTAATTAAATTAAAAAACTATAATTTAAAAAATGTTATTTTAAATTATTATTTTACTTTCATTTAATATAAAAATAAATATGATATATAAATAAATTTTGAAATTAATTGTTTTTATTTAAGTTTCACTATATTCGAATTAAATTTGATTGATAAACTCTTCAAATTATACTAAATTTGTTTAACAAATAGTGCTTACTTTGATAATAATATAGATATATATTTAAATTATTGGATTCTTCAAAAGGTTATTCATTTTATTTTTTGAAGGAATTTATTTTCATTTTTTTCTTTTTTTTTGTTTGGGTTTGGTTTAGATTTGGATTGTCTTTGTTAATTCATTTAATCATTCCACGAATCGTAATTAAAATAGTGATTAAGCTATCTATATGCTCTATCAAGAGGATCTTAACTTTTGATTGGTATGTAAACAGCATCTCCTTCTTAGCTGAAGTAAGATCCTTATATATTTTTATAGGAATCCTATTGAGAAGGATCAATTTTAACTTTTTTATAGCCTTTGATTCCTGGATTTAAATATTTCTGTAAATCTTATTCTTTTTTATCAACAGACTCATTAATAAATTTTTCATACTATTAATCAACTTCTTAATCAAATGCATTTTTTTTAGCATATTAAGCATACTCATTCCATCCCATATTTTCTATTTCGTGCTCACCTATTTATTTTTCACTGTCATCAAAATCGTCTCCTATTTAGTGACTAAATTTTACATAAGAGCTAGGAAAATAACCATCTTTAGGGTCGCGAATTCCCAACTAGCAACCCCACCACCATCCGTTTGGATGTTGATATTTAACAATAATTCTATCATCTTTTTTGAAGCTCAGATATTGCATTTATTAAGTTTAATTATCTTATTATTAAGTTTCATTTTGTTCTTATTTAGTTTAATTCTGCTATTCATTCTAGCTTTGTTAGTCTACATCTTTCTTTTATTCATCATTTTAGGCTTCTTTTAAATCTGGAGTGTCATTTTAACTTTATTTATTTTATTCTATACTATTTAAGTTATCCTATTCCTTTTTTTCTTTATTATTTTCATTTTATTCGTTAGCTTTTTCATCTTTTCCTTGAGTTTCATCTAATTTAATTGATTGCTATTATGAATTATTTTCAGAATCTTCTTTTATTTTTGGAGAATCTTCATTTTATGCTTTCATTTAATCTTCAGTTTTCTGAGATTTATTTTCCTATGAAGCTTTTTATGAATAATTCATAATTTCCTAAGAGAAATCACATAGCGCTATTGCTACAATCATGTTTTTAGTTTGAGAGATGCTCTAAAAATGCAAATTTACTTTTCAAAAAAATATTATTAAATTATTAATTAATTTCTTTATTAATAAAAAACTAAATTATTGTTTTTGTTCACAAAAATAGTAATTTATAATATAAAAATAATGAACAATATTCTATTAAATATAAATAGACAATCACAAAAAAAATATAATTTAAATAAATAAATAATTTTATATTTAAATTATTCAAATTTATACTAAAACGAAATGATAATATATAAGCAAAATTAATGAAAAAAATTTTATAAAAATCATATTTTATTAATAAACTTTTAGCTGAAAGTATTAGATCTGAACTTGATTATAGCTTTGATGACTACACTTAAAAATTGTATGAGGAAAATAATTGTAAATATCACTGAGAGAGCTACTCCTAGTATGGCATTAAGATTTTCATTTATTTCTGTGTTAACTTAACTTTAGTAAGCTATGAATGTAATTATAGTAATTGAAAATATTAGCAATCCTTTGCATATAACTTGAATATTGTTATCTGTTTTTAAGGTAAATGGTTAGAATTAAACGAGTACTATCAACTCTAATCCAAATATGAAATGTATGATCATGCATTGTTAAATAGGAGATCTGAAGTATATCAAAGATATAATAAACACTATTTTTCTCGCTATCAGAAAAGTATTGTAAATGCTTTTATGAGGTTTTAGGTTTTACAGCAAAAATGAATGCTTTTAAGAGTTTTAATCACTCATTTGTAATGAAGGATATCTTGTCAAGTGGTGTGATTAAGTTGATAGAATAATGAGACCTGATATAAATAGCAAGCTTGCTACAGAAAAAATAACACCAAGTATCTAGATATTAGTTAAGTTTGTTTCATATAGCTGCAAAAGAGAAGCTAGTATTATGTCATGACTAGTTAAAAATGCTATTCCAACTATGATGAAATATTTAAATTTTCTTTCATAAGGTCTAAATATAAATTGAAGGAATTAGATTCTAACATACTTGACAATTAATTTAGAGATCAAATATATGAAGATGCTGAAACCCCAAATAGCAGCAACTTGTATCATGTTTGAAAAGAAAAATGTGTCATAATTTTCAATTTAGAATTGAACTGGAGCACTTGATTCAGACTTGTGTTTATTTGGAATTATTTCAAAATTGGCAAAATCAAAAACTCTCATTGTTTGGTATGCTAAATTAGGTATATTGACATTTAGGTAAATTAAGTAGTTTATAACTTACAGGATATCGAAAATGCTAACAAAATCATAAAACTTAGTTATAAAAATCATCAAAAGAGTGCAGCTTAATGAGATAGAACCAAGAGAAATAGAAATAGTGCTTTATTATTTTTTATTTTTCTTCATTTCATCTTCTAAATAATCATCTTTATAGTTTTCATTTAATTATAATTCTAAATTAGCTTATAATTTTATTAAGCTTTGTTCATTAATGTCCTTCACAGAATCTTCGTTTGGGAAATGCAAAGTTAAAGTTGAATTCTAAAAGTTTTCTTGCATTTTTATAAAGATGTTAAATTTATGTTTTAACAATTAATCAGTTTAGTTGTATAAAGGAGAAATCTTGTAATTAAATTGAAGATCCTATCCTAACTTATTTTACATTTGAAGTCTCCACTCTGAGTAGTTCGAAACTTTAACATGTCTATCAAATTAAACTTAGCAAATTATTTAATAACCATCATCAGCTTTTTAGATTTCTACTAAATTTAGTTGAGGAGAAGGTCCATCTGATTTTATTTTACATGTTTGTTTCAATATAAATTAATCTTCAAAGTATTTCTTGCACTCATAGCCTTATTTTATTATGCATTGTTCAGTGCATCCATTTTTGCTTTCAGAATCACCTAAATCACATTAGATTTTAGAAGATATTTAGTATTTCTTTAAAATATCTGGTTTTATAACAAATCCCTTACCACATAATTCTACACATTGCTTTGATTTCTCAGAGTATTCCACACCTTGAATTCCATAGCAATGTTTACATTCTTTGCCAACTTTATAAATACCTTAACTTGTATTGCATTCAATACATGAATCTTCTGAAATATCACAACTTAAGCAATTAGAGCTACATTTCTAACAATTATTACCTTACTTAAAATACCCTTTTTCGCAATTAGGAACACAAAGGCCTTATTAAATTAAATAATCCTATTTACATCTTGTGCATAAAGAATTTTAATCACAATCTAAGCAATTTTATTTACATTCAATGCATTCATTTTTTTATATGTTGTGCGAAAAACCTTCAGGGCATTTTTCTACACAGCTTTAACCTTTAACAATCAAAGGTGTCTTGCATTAATCAAGGCATTTACCTTAATATTGATAATGACCTTCTTCGCAATTTTAACAATTTCCAAATAAATCACAATCTTTGCAGTTTTCAGGACATTTTAAGCAAAGTTTTCCACTTTGATACATATTTTTTGGACATTTATCAACACATATTTAGGAGTCCTTAATCATTAAAAATAGATTCTTGCAAGATGTACAAGTGGTAGGTGATTCAAAGCAATCTTAGCAGTTAGTACTACATTTCTGACAAATTTTGGTGTTTTAGTCTAAATAATTACCTAAAGGACAATCCGTTATTTACTCGCATTCATGATTTTATTTATTTTCTTTATATCCTTTTGAGCATTCAGTTACACAAGCTTTTTACTATAGTAAGAGATCGTTTTTGCATTTGAAGCATTCAAGGTTTTTGTTACACTCAGTACAGTTTTCTTAGCATTTGATGCATGTATTGGAATCATTATCTTTTGAATATCCTTGAGGACAAATATCAACACATTCACTATTAAATTGTATTAATGGTTTTTCGCATTTATCCAAACAATTTCCTTTGAATGCAAAATATCCTTATTAGCATTTATTACAAATACCTTTATCCTTACAATCTAAGCAATTTTATGGGCAATTTAAACACAATTTCCCATCACTGTATGTTTTTTCTGGGCAACTATCAGAACATTATGAAGTACTTTTGATTAACAAAAATTCTTATTAACAAGATACACATTGAGATTCGTCTTTACATTCTTCACAATTAGAACCACAATTTGAGCAAGTATTTGTTTTTTCATCTAAAAATGTTCCTTTAGGACAAGAAGTGATTTTTTCACATTTTTATTGTTATTTATTCTCCTTATATCCTTATGAGCATTCTTTAACACATACATTTGATTCGAGTAAGAGATCATTTTTGCATTTGGTACATTCAAGGTTTTTGTTACATTCAATGCAGTTTTCTTGGCATTTAATGCATGAATTAGAATCATTATCCTTTGAATATCCTTCAGGACAACGCTCAATACACTCGTTATTAAATTATATTAAAGGGTTTTCACATTTATCTAAACAATTTCCTTTGAATGCAAAATATCCTTCAAGGCATTTATCGCACATGTCTTTATTCTTACAAAATAAGCAATTTTCTGGGCAATTTAAACACAAATTTCCATAAATGTAAGTTTTTTCTGGGCAACTATCAGAACATTATGAAGTGCTTTTGATTAGGAAAAATCTTTATTTACAAATAAGACATTGAGAATTATCCTTGCACTCTTCACAATTAGGAATACATTTTAAGCAAGAGTTTGTTTTTTCATCTAAAAATGTTCCTTTAGGACAATCAATAACTTCTTCACACGTTTAAAGTTACTTATTCTCCTTATACCCTTTGGAACATTCTTTTACACATGTTTTTGATTAAAGTAAGAAGTCAATTTTACATTTTAAGCAATCAAGATTTATGTTACAATCTTTACAATTTTCTGGGCATTTGTAGCATAAATTAGAATCAATGTCATAAGAATATCCATCAGGACATTCTTCAACACATTCATTATTTAGCTGCTTAAGTGGCTTTTCACATTTATCAAAGCATTTTCCTTTATATTTAAAAAAGGAGTTTTAGCAGGAATCACAAAAATCAGAATCTTTACAATTTTAGCAATTTTATGGACAATTGATGCATTATTAATTTTAAACATATGTATTTTCAGGGCATGGTTTTGAGCATTATTAAGTACTTTTTACAAAGTAAAATCCATCTTCACATGTAATACATTAGGTTTAATTGAAACACTCCAAACAGTTAACACTACAAGATTAGCATTCTTTACTATCTTAATCTAAAAATTTTCCTGATGGGCATTTTATAATTTGCTCACATGTTTTATCTTATTTATTTTCTTAATAACCATAAGAGCATTATTCTACACATAAATATTGTTATAACAAATAATTATCTTTGCATTTCTAGCATTCAAGCTTTTGATTGCATTCAGAGCAATTTTTAGGACATTTCATACATTAATTTAAATCTTTATCCAATGAGTATTCTTTTGGGCAACTCTCAACACAGCGATCTTCTAATTTGACAAATTTGTTCTTACACTAATCAACACACAATCCTTCTTAGAAAAAGAATTATTTTTAGCATTATGTGCATTAATCTTTTTAAGTACAACTCAAACAGTTGCTTGGGCATTTTAAGCAGACTTAATCTTCTTAATAATTATCATTCGGACATTACACAGCACACTCTTGACTCTCTTTAACTAAAACAAATCCATCTTGACAATTCTTGCAAGTCTAAGAATCTGAACATTCTTAACAATTTTGTTTACATTTCAAGCATTAATTAGCGTTTTTATCTAAATAAGTGCCTTTCTCACAATCTTTTATTTATTCACAAATCATGTTTTAAGAATTAGCTATATACCCATCAGGACAACTATCTACACAGGTGTTATTAAATAACAATTTCTTTTAAGAACACTTATCACAAGTTTATACACCTGAAGAGTTAGTTGAACATTCTATGCAATAAATATTAAATGCTTTATCACAACTGACACAGGACTTATTTTAAGCAAGAAGCCCTTTTGGACATTCATTAACACAAGTTCCATTGAAAACAATATCTTTGCAAATCTCACATTTTTTGCTTTTTAAATTAGGTATTTTATCTCCCGTGCAAGTTTTTAAACAAGACATTGTTTCTTCGTCGATATATTAATCTGCAGGACACTTATCTACACACTTATTAGAGGAGAGATACTAACTTGAATTACTGCACGAAAGGCAGTTTTAAGGATTAATTGGATCACAAGTAGAACAATCTTTGTTATCACAGGCCTTGCAAATAAGCCTTTTGTTTCCGTTTATTAGCATGCTGCTAGCAAATTACCCTGGCGGACAAGTTAAGACGCAAGCTGATTGATCAGATAACAAAATTTGATTCTCAAATTAACATTTTTAGCATTAATTTGAATCACATTGTTCACACATTTTAAACTTACTCTAACAGAGAGTGCAAACGTTTTTATACTGCTCTTTGAAGTGAGTTGCTGGACAATCTTTAACACATTTCACTGAATTTTCAGAAATTTTTATTAATTGGTACCTAGAAGAGCATTCCAAGCATTTAAATTAGTTTTCAGGGTCGCATTTATTGCAGTTAGGGTCTTAGCATGATAAACAAACATTTGTTCCTTCTTGATCTTTAGTGCCAACTGATCCTAAATCGCAGGTTGGTTTGCAAGAATTTTTGTCTGATTATATATAATTATTAGAATCTATGCATTTAGTACAAAAATCTATCGTATTGCATGCTAAGCATCCTGGATAAACTACATCGCATCTTTCCATACATTTGTAGCTAACTTTATTTACTAAATATCCTTCATCACATTTTTCTTAGCATACTCCAACTTAATTGAACAAAGGCAATTTACAAACTTAGCAACGAGTTGGATTTGAAGCTTGGCAAATAATGCAGTCACTATTTGTTTAGCATTTTTTACATTCTCTAATTGAACCAGAGCTGTCATTGTAATATCCTTCTTCACACTAGGTAAAGCAGCCAAGATTCTTATGAAGGTATTTCTGATTATTTTTGCATGAAATACATCCTGTAGCATTGCAATCTTAACACTCTTAGTAGATTTTAGAGCACTATTAACAAACTCCATTTTAAGGTCCATACCCACTAGGACATGTATCAACACATTTGCCGTTTGAAAGAAATGAAAAATTCGAATTCTCGATACACTAAAGACAATTATTACTGTTTTATTAATCACAAATTTAGCAATTTTGGCTTAAACATTTTTTGCAGGTTTTTTAATTTTCATAATAGCCTGCAGGACATTAATTCAAGCAGGATTTTTTATTTGGATCGTAAATAGGATAAGAAGATGAGCACTAAATGCAATTTTAGCTGTCGCAGGACTCGCAATTAGAGTATGTATCAGAACATTTTAAGCAGTTAAAAGCGTTTTCACTGCCTGCTTGTCCTTAATAGAAACCTGCTGAACATGAATTTACACATATCTAAGACTGTAAAAGAGGATTTGAAGATTTACTATCACATTTCAAACAGATTTAATTTTGATCGCACTTAGCGCAATCTTTTACAGTGCAACTCTAAACGCATTATAAATACCCAGAATCAGAATTTTCAGTCATTCCATCAGGGCATTTGTTGACACAATTCTAAGTTAATACATTCAAATAAAAGTTATTTGCGCATTAAGTACATTTGTCCGTTGTGCATTTTTAACAATTAGGAAATTTATTTGAGCAAGTCTAACAAATGAATTTATCATCAGAAATAAATCCTTCTGGACATTAGTCTAAGCATTTGTTTTCATGTTTAAATGCTTTCTCCTAACATTAAAAGCAAGTAATTGAGTCACATAATGAGCATTTTTGAGGACATTATGAACACACTAATTAACTTGACTTCGTATTTTAGAAGTAACCATCAGGACAATTTGAATAGCAAGTTTATTATTCACTTAATAAATACTATCCATCTAAGCATCCTGTGCATTGAGTAGCAGTGCATTTTGCACAATTTGATTTAGGGAAAACATCTGAGCATTTACGACATTCGTTATTCTGGGACTTTACAAACCCTTCACTACAAGAGAGAACGCAATTAATTTCTTGCAAAAGCATATTTTATGGACACTAGGTGCAATTTTGAGGAGAATTAGGATCGCATTTCAGACAAACTGCGTTTGGGCATTTCAAACAAAGATTCTAATTATCTGTCACTGCGGGATAGTATTTATCAATATTACAACTTGCTGAACATTTATTTTAATCTTAAATTAAATATTGACTTTTATCAGTACAAGATAAGCAATTTTATTATGTGCATTTAAAACACCCTTAAAATAACGCACTACACAATTAACATGTTGACGAATTCTGCTAATAATATGAAATATCGCAACTCTACACGCAATCCCCATTTTACATAAGGGGTAATTTGGAATTACATTTCGTACAAGTTTTTGGATTGCTGCTACTGCAAACTTCACAATTTAAGTTTTCACATTTTTTACAAACTTTGCTAGAATTTGAGTAATAATTTGAGGGGCAAGAATCAACGCATGGAGATTTTCCGTTTTGACCTTCTAAGAAATATTGTGAACTATTACACTCAATACACTATCCTGAAGTACATTTTGAGCATCCACTGTAAATTTCACTACATTTTCTACATATTCTGTTTTCATCAGGTCCAAATCCTTAATCACATGTAGATTAGCAAATATTTACCATCAAATTAAAAGGATTGTTACATTTTTAGCATTTATCATCACCTAATTAGCAACTTGAACATTGCGGATCTTTACATTTAATGCATCTTTTTTTATTAGGATCAGGATAGTATGTTTCATCTGGACAAGTCTTAGTACACTAATTATTAATAGTAATAAAAGAGCCTTTAGAACATTCTCTGCATGTATTTTAATCTAAGCATTATATGCAGTTTGAAGGACACTAATCACAAGTTTTACTTTAAGAATTTTTAAAGTAGTTAGGTCCACAATCATCAACACATTTCTATCCTAGAAGAAAAAAGCCTTTTTAACATTCAGAGCAAGCATTATCGTTTTCAGGTAAGCAAACTGAGCATTTTTATTAGTCTTAGCATTTAAAACACCTCTAAGTATTTGGATCCATCTGATAATTCTAATTGCATTTGCAAACACCTTTATCTAAGTACATATTTACAGCACAGGTAACACAGGATGTAGGAGAATCCTTACAAGTTAAGCAATTTGAAGAGCATTTTTTACAGCTCATATCATTATTGACTTTAACAGTATAATAACCTTCCATACATTAAGTGCACATATTTTAATTAAAACAGCTGATACATTTTGGTAATTCGCACTAATTAAAAATGAAAATAATAAGTTTGAAAGAATAAATATAAGATCTGTCTTTATTTACAAAATGTAAAATATGCCAAAATAAATCAGTAGATAAATAATTAAATTGAAATTATGTAATATTTGAGCAGTAATTTAAATTAATTGCGATGATCTAAATAAAGTTTAATAAAAATAAATCTTTTACACCACAAGATCAAAAATTGACCACCAATTTAATGAAATGAAATTAAATTAGCTATTAAATAAATTACATTGTATGCATAAGCAAAAATTTCTCTTATGCCAAAGTAAGATTAAGGAGACAGATTAGTGATCTTAATTTGAGTGCTTTCACTTTTTGAATCTATGTCAAAAGAATCTAAAAATTCTCCCATTTTATCAATTTGATTCATTCCACAAATGTTTGGAGAGTTCTAGTCAGAAGATTTTTAATAATTAACATCAACCACTTTTTTCCCATTATTTACAGAAACACTAGCGATAGTGAAGTCTTCTGCTTAATCAGGAATATCGATTGCTATATACTTGAATGCTAATTTAAATTTTTTGTACTTTTTGTTGTTTGTAAAAGAAATTTATATTTCGCTTTTAAATACATTTAAAAAAAATCCCCCAAAGAGCTAGAAAGTATTGCACTTAGAAACTATGCCACCATTTGATTAATTTTAGAAGTTAAATCCAGACCACTGAAACCCAAGATTTTGTATCTCTAAAATCGAAAAATCATTTGTGATCAGTCCTTGAAAAAGAAATTCTCCTATTCAAATATTAGTTAGTTAGTAACAAGTTGATTATTTAAGTTTACTACAAATTTTAATTTTACCTTAAATATCTTCTATGTTAAATTAGCAATATGGTCTAGTTGAAATATTAGCTTTTGTATAAGAAGTAGGACAATCTTCAATGCATTAACCTTAGAATATTGGCATATTTTTCTCACATTTTAAACAAACTCCTTTAAAACTATCCCAAAGGCTGCAATATTTAGAAAAAATGCAAATATTATTAAACTAGAACCAATATTCAGATTGATCACATGAATCAGAGCACTAACCTTTATATAATACCTTTTTAGGGTCAGAACATGAGCATTTTCCGCTTTATGGATTATTTTCATAACATTTCGTGCAATTAGACTCGCTTGGCCCACTACACTCAAAGCAAGTAGGATGACAAGTATTTAATGAAATTTGAAGTGACATTAGGCGAAAATAGCTCTAATCCTAGCATTACTCTTAAAAACTTACAATTTTCTACTTTGTATAACCATTGAATGAATATTATCCTATTAAAATATATGAAAAATTATATTGTTAAAAATAACTCTCAATCCAAATTTACCAGAATAATATTGCTGGATGAGCAGGTCATCACTAGAAAATGATTTTTCTTGATTTGTGTTTATTTGTAAGAATCTTTAATTTTAGATATAATTTTTATAATCAAATGCCTATAATAATCTATTGCTAGCTTTATTACAATTAGCTATTAATTTACTTTTCTAATCAAATAATATAGGTACTTAGCTTGTGTCATCAATTTTAACTTCTATTTTTTAATTGTTTAGAGCTTACATATATATCATATCAAATGATACTGAGCTTCTATAATATGGTACTTGGATATCTATTTTAAATAAAGCATTATTTTTAGATTTAACTCCATCATTCTAGCAAGTAAATTATCCTAAATAAGACCTAAAAAATTAGGTATCATCTTGAGAGTAAGTGCAATCAAACAAATTGTAATCATCTTTAAACTTAGCAATGTTAAAACCATCTATTGTCAATGCTGGATAATCAATTACTATATAAAATATTATAAATATTATTAAGAAGTACTTAAAATTATAAATATTTTACTGCAATTACAAAATTTGAGAATTATTATTGATAAAATGCTTTACAAAGTTAATATTTTTTAGTTCATTCTTTAACTTATTTTTTTATTTTCTACTTACATTTAATTAATTGTTTGATTTTTGCTATTATTTTATTTGTTTGTTTGTTTATTTATTTATTTGTTTTTGCTCTTAATTAAATCTAGATAAATAGATAGTTAGATAATTTGATAATTAATAACATTAAAATAATCTTTTATTCAGTGAAGCAGACATCTCTGTATGGTCTAGCTATCATACGTAATAGTTAAATATTGAAAAATAATGTATCTTATTTACAACGAGCTTATTATTTTTAATTAATTAATAATATTATTTAAAATTTAACACAAAATTGTTTTAAATATAATATTCATTTCAATATTATAAAATAACATATTAATTAGATCTAATTAATTTATGTAAATGAATAAATATATTAATTTTTAATTCAAACAATTATAATAAATTATTAATTACTTAATATTTTATGTGTAAAAAATTCTACATAAAAAATAATTTAAATTTAAACAATAATTTATCAATTAAAATTTTTAATTTATTTAAAATATTTACCGATTTGTTATATTAAGATTATTATATCGTTTCTTATTTAAAATAAAATTTAATTTTATATTATTAATAAGTATTTTTTAACCTGAAAAATAATAAATAAAAATTATTATTTTAATATTACCATTATTCCTAAAATCATCTAATATCAAATATGGAAAATATAGAAGAAATAAAATTAAAAATAGAAATGAATTATGAGGCGTGGGTTATTAAATTCAAGTAGATTATTAAAAATAAAAATTCAAATAAATTTTAATTTTTAAATTTACTTAAAAATCCTCGAAAATACATTCATACACCTCCCCCTCACCTCTCATAATTACATGTTAAAGTAAAATATTTATTAAAAAACAATTACTATCTAAAGTTTTTAAATAAGAAATTATTTTTAAAATCAATAAAATGATGACTATTGATCATTAAAAAGCAAATATTCACAAAAATTCAACCATTAAGTGATTATTTACTTAATCATTCATTTTTAATATTGAAATAACTAAATTTTATCTTTTCATCATCCAATTTTATTGCTTAAGTATATATAAAATGTTTTATTAACTTGTTATTTTATTTTTGTATATATTTTTACATTAAAAAATAAAAAATATTTAAATTTTGACTTTAATTAAAAAAAACCCAAAAATGAAAGCCTGATAATTATTTTAAAAAATGGCTCAAAAAACTAATTATTACTTGAGGTATATTTTAATTTGAGATTAATTGGAATTGTTGCAGAAATGTGTCACTTTAAAAATTAGAAAACGTAATAATTTGTAAATAAATATAGATGAGTTGTTATTAAAATATAGAACAATCTCAATAAATATGTATTCGCTGATTAATCAATAATCATATTATCTAACGTTATTATCACATAAATATAATAAGTACCCTATGATTATATTTCTTCTTTTAAAATAATACTTAGAATTAGCTATTTTTTTAAATCAAATTTTTAAAAAAATTATTTGAATATTAAGAAGGTTTATTTTTTAAATTAGTTAGTTAATTTATTAAGAAAAAAAGTAATTATTTCTTTTCAAATTCAAACTATTGAAATTGTTTCCTTAAATATACTTTGAAAATGCAAAAATCAATTAATATTTAAGTTTTAAAAACACATTTCAAAATAAATATAAAACTACTTGATATTTGAGTATTAATATTGAAGGGTTCTTGAAAATTTAATAGTATAAATACTTATTAATGCAAATTAAAATGAAATCTGCCAATTAAATCTAAGATAAAACATTCATAGTCAAAATAGTAGTTATTTTTAATTTATATATCAATCTCAATAAATATGAATTGGTAGATTTATCAATAATCATTTTATATACGATTTTATGATAAATATATAATGAGAGCCCTATAATTATATTCCTTCTTTAAAAATAGTACTTTAAGTAAGCTATTTTTTTAAATATCAATGTTTAGATAATTATTTGAATGTAAAGAATGTTTATTTTTTTAGTTAGTTATCTTCTTAATTACAATTTACAACTTACTAGAAGAAAATAGTAGTTATTTCTTTTAAGAATTTAGATAGTAAGTAAAAAGTATTTATTTACTTATAAAATACCAAAAGAAATTAATATTTAAGTATTAAAAGCATATTTCAACATAAATATAAAACTACTTCACATTTTAGTATTAAATATTAAATGATTCTCACATTTTAATAGAAAGAGTATTAATAAATAAATGACTATCAAAATCAAAATTTAAAATATATTGAATCAATTAAAATAAAATGTGCCAACCAAGTCATATATAAAACACTGATTTTAATTACATAGATCATTTAAATGATTTATTTAATCCTTTGCTAGATATACAGATGTAAGAACTATTAGAGAACCTAATATTTGCAAAAGAGGTATTAACTCATTTGAAATTTATATAAAAGAATGAATATGCTTCTATAATAGTTTAAATTGATTTACTACTTACATTTATAAGCAATAAAATATTTAAATTTACTTATAACTATTAATCAATTAAATATTTTAAGTATCTCTTTCAATATTATCATAGAAATTTGAGTTGTTCTCAAAGAGTTTATCAACATTAATTCTTTTCTTTTTCATAATTTTTCTCTATAAATGGTGATAGATGTTCTTTATAATTTTCTAGAAAGCAGTTTAAGAGTTTTTAAACAAATGAGAGATATTGATTTAGCATAGAAATAAAAATCAATAAATTATATTTAAATTAAGGAAACAATTTAAGATTAGTTACTAAATATATAATGTTGATTGAAAGTTTTTTTGAAGTTTATTGATTTGAATAACAAACGCAAAAAGAACTAATTTCTTTTAATTAATTTTTTTTGTTTAGGTGATTACAATAGCCTTTATTTCTATATATTTTACTATTTCTTGCTTTTATTTTTATAATTTCAATTTTTTTCTACTTGATAATATCCTAATTTATTAAAAATATCATTTTTTAGTTAAAAATTTAGTTTGAAAATAATTTTAATTCTTTATTCAACTATCTAATTTATTTTCTTTTATTCAAATAAATTACAAATTTGTAAGCTTGAATGAATTCTTTCAAAAAATTTAAATTTCTTTTAACGTTATTAAGTAACATAATTAATTATTATTAAATAGAATCAAATTCACTTCAAAAGCTGAAAAGCTGGATCTTTCTTTTAAGATTGATTTGCGTTCTTTAATTAAAAAATAATCAGCCTATTATAGAAAAGGTGTTGAAAGAAATTTCAACTAATGAATTCTATCAAATTTAAATATAGTATCAACAAATAAATCAATTATTTTTTTCTATTTTATTATCACTATATATAGAAAGTGCTTCTATACTTTATGAAGGAAATATAATTAATTTAACTAAAATAAATTAGATATTATATTTGTCAAATGAGCTTAAAATTCATTATTTTAGCTTTCAATTTATTGATGCATGCTTCATGTATCTTTTAATAATCAAGTAGGTTGACGCAATCTTTTACTTAAGCTTCAAACGATACTTCAGTATGGCCTATATTCAAGCCCTATCCTGTATTCTCCACAGATTCTTTACAATTTTGCAAATATTATATGAACTCTTATCTTTACTATTTTACTTATTCATAAAGATAGTATATATTTCTTAGTTTATAGACTTGTGGCTTCAATCTATTTAGCGTTAATGATCCATCTAATCCTAAACTTGAAGTTAACTATGCCATACAAAGCGGATAAATCAATAAATCTACTTTTGATACTTTAAGAAACTTACTTTTTGTTTGTTAATCTGAAGGTAATGTTTTTTATATTGATTTCTAAAAAAATTCAACCTAAGTCAACTTAGCATTCTAAACAAATAACTCTTTGCAAGCATACTCAGTAGAATTTATAGCTGGAGTTTAAGACGCTATTTTAGTAGTCTGCTATAATGAAATATAAATATTTCAAAGTCAAATTAATAATCAACAAAGTTACTGGATGGATTTGTCAAATTTCAAATATTATCGTTCAATAGTACTTTAATAAGCAAATGTAATAGTTAAGGTATAATTTATTAACAACCTGCTACTTGTTGGTAGCAAATTTATTGGACTATAAGTATATTCTACAGATTCTACTACCTTTAATAAAGATGCAACATATACTTACCTATCAATTTACTTACCTACTTATTAGTATGTCCAGGATTTTCATCTAAAATCTAATAATATCTTATACTTACTAATGAATTACGGAGGATTCTATGTGTATGATTTTTCAGCTTGTATACTTAGCGGAACTGTTCATAACTGCTCAAATATCAATTATTTTTCACAATAAATCTAAAATACTAAATCAGGCACGATGTACGTTTCTAAAGATGAAAAATACATTTATACACAATTCAGCTCTTAAGGTATTATCATTTATGATATAACCTAGTAGATTTTAAAAACTTTTTAGACTATTTAAATCAAAGGTGAGTCTGATTTTATTGCTCTAAATGATAAAGAAAATTTAATATTTTTTTCTGGAACTCTTTAGTTCTAAATATATATAAAATCTAATACTAATAACATTCTTCTTGATAGACCGAACATATTGTCAAACATAGTCTAAAGTTATGACATAAATTTCTATAAAGATACTACTTATGTAAACCCCGATATTTCGTGTATAGTAGATACTAACAAGGGAATAGTATTTCTGACAAGAATAACTTAAGGTATTGTAGTTTTATAGAGATAACCTTAAGGAATATTGAAAGAAATAATTTAATTAGAGAAAAATGTTTAGTACTAATATGTCATGAAATTTAAATACTTCATAACTGAATCTCTAATGTATGTTACTAAAGGACCTGCTGGTTTAAGTGTTATGGATTTTACTAATCCAGCTACTCCAGTTTATATATAAAATAATTTGACTTTTGGAGTAAAAAGCCCTTTTTTCTACTTCATGGACTGTAATTACTAAGAAACTATGTGCTATATTAGCTCTACATAAACAGGGGTGGTGTTAATAGATATTTCAGATAAAAGAAATCCTAAGCTGCTATCGATTTTCAATAGTAATAACTTAAGTATAGGATCATAGACTATTAGCCAATCTGTTTTCATGAGAAATAAGTCTATTTTATTTAGCTCCACATAAACATATGGCATAATAGTACTAGATTTAACAGAAAAAAGTAACCCTAAACTCATATCATCACTATTTACTAATGAAGCCTCTGGACCATTGTAATTCATTATCAATAATATATGTAATTAAAAATATTTATTTCTTTTTAAAAAATAGACTAACTTCAGATGATAAGTATTTAATTATTTCTAGTACTTACAAAGGATTGATTATTTGTGATACAAGTGATCTTACTCAGTTAAAAATAATTTCTACAGTATAACTGATTGGAGGTCTTATATAGGGATTATTTATGAGTAATGAAAAATACGTGGTCATACCTTCATATGAAGAACCTGCATTTTACTTAATTGACATTTAAGATAAGCTAAATCCTATTCTTCTGTAAACTTGGAAAAAATAAACTCCAGGTAACTATATTGATGTGTGCATAGGCTAAGATGAAAATGATGGGTATCTGACCTCTGATATACCATTAGTATCCATCAATCTGAAAAGCTAAATTATTTTTTATTAATTTACCTATCAAATAACTACACTTCAAGGTACGAACCAACAAACTTATTAAGAAATAGACTCTACGTAACCCATTTATGTTGGATAATAATTGAATATGTATGTGTTTCCTCTTTACTCTGAAAATTAGGTTATAATAAAAAGCGTATATTCTTATGAAGATTACATTTTATAACCTTTATAATCATGGATAAGATTCTCATCTGCTTAAAACCTCCTTAAAATTAATGTTGTAAAGGACTCTCTATCATAAAACTCTCAAGGACAGTATGTTGAAACTACTATAAATCTTGTTTTTCAAACATTTTTAAAACTTACAAGTTCAAGTTTTGTGAATTCATATTTAGGAATAGATTCTTCTTTATCTGCTAAAATTTTAAACCAGTGTCAGCTCCTTGGCCTTGTAGATGTTTAAAATACTGTAGCCCAAGATTTTGATCCTAGAGTTTCTCTGAAACTAGATATTACCAGTATATCAAGTGCAGATTTTTAAGCTACATTAACACCTGATAAATTGCAAGACATAAATACTGCAATAAAATATGTTCTGCAACACAGCATAGTATATTACCCAATTTAATTACAGATATCTCCATCGCTGAAATTAAATATAGATAACCCTTAGCAATATATCTATAGCCTATAATCTTAAGTTACAATTTATGTTAGCGTAGCTAATATTTCTTAAGGAAAATTTGTAGAAAATAATTATTCTGGAGTTTTGAGTATTTTTTCTTAATATCAAAATGAAATAAAAATTGAGGGAGATATAAACAATGTAAATCAAGCTTTATTAAAAAAAATAAAATTTTATTCTATGGTACCATAAGATTAAATAGTCTTTAATGTTCAAGTATCAGATGGAGTTAATTATGATATATTTTACACTTTCAGTTATTAACAGATAAGTTTTATTACAGAACAAGCGAAGGTTTAGCTCAAAAGTGGTGCGTCTCTTTAAAATGACTTGGCATCAAAAATTCCTGATTCTTCTATATACATTTTAGAGGCTTTTTATTACTAAGTATCATCTGATTTATACTATGGTGATAGTTCAACAAGTTTGTATTATTCAGCATAAATATTAGACGGAGACTAGTATGTTGAAATACCAGTTAACTTTTGGTTATAGTTTTCTGCTTAAGATCGAATGTTTAGTGGTACTCCAAACTAAAGTAATTTTAATTAAAAAGTAAAAATCAAATTAAAAGTTACTGATAACTATTCGACAAACGAATAGTTTATGGAAATAACTGTTGGAAAAGTACCAGTTAGTTATGTGCTTTAAATACTAATTTAAGTGATAAGTCCTGTTATTGGTTTATTAGGTATTTGGAGATATAAATATCAAATTTATAACATCACAAACAAGAAAAAATACACTTATTCAAAAGAAGTAGTTGTTGCTGGTAGTATTTATCAGAAATAGATTTTATTAAATAATTAAAACATTGTGGCTGCAAATAAAGTTTTGTAATACCTAAAGAAAATTATAACTGATGATGAAATACAAAAGTAACTAGTGAGTTACTACTCAGTAGATTCAAATTATTTGGAAATAATTTTCAATGAGAATACACTGACTTAATCTGTAAATAGTCCAGTTAATAAAAATCTATCACAACAATATGATATAAATGACAAAGTTATTGAGATTTAAGATAGCCCTGCAGGATAATAAGAGTAAATTAAATAGAATTTATAGTTCAAATATCAAGCACAGGATGAAATAAAAGATGACTAAAGTCCTCGCCATTCTCCAAGTGGTTAAAATACAGATATGAAATAATCTGATATCTTATCAGCAAGTAATAGCCAATGTTTCCCTGCTTCAAACTCTTAATCTTAGTAAAATAGTTAGATTTTTTCTCCTAAGTGTAACTATTAGTAAAACTAAAGCATTACAATCTTTTCAAAAAGATAGTCAGTAGATTAACAGAGAGAAAACAGATAAAAAAGTATTTCAAGAAGAAAACTGACAAAGGCTTATGAGTTTCAATAAAATTTTGTTAAACCTAATATAAATGACTAAAATGAATCGTAAAATAGAAGAAAAAAGAGCAGTATTTATCAAAATAATAGTCTTGTAAATATATTTGACGATAACATGGTTTTAAACTACCCAAGAATAATCGATTACTTAATTGAATAAAACAAAAAAGAAAAACAAGAAAGCTACCATTTATCTGAAGAGCTTGTAAGCCAGCTTTATTAGCAAAACAGTTTCATTAGACAGACGTTTGAATCTTTTTTAGCAGAATATATCCTTCAACGAGATAACTTGTCTTATGTTTTACTGGAGTAGTTGTAATAGAGAGCTTAGTAAATTAATAATCAAAGCCCAGACTGGTATAAATATTATTGTAATATTTAAGCTAATTTTGATGAAATATCTTTTAATCCATTACCAAAAATAGTTTTTGATGATAATTTCCTTCTTGATAATATTAAATAATGCGTACAATTACTAAATTAAGTTAAAATTGATAATGGAGTAGCTAAAATTCCTGTATCCCTCTATTTAATAAAGTAAGCAATAAAAGCGTGTGCTTTAGGATTTGTAAGTGATTTTGCGAAATAGAAATATAAAACAAGCGGAGAATCTATTAATACAGAAGCATGTAATGTAAAATAAATAGTTTCCTTTAACAAAAGAGAAATAAACCTACAAATTTAGAAAAAAAAATCTTATTTTTAAAGATTTTTGAGTATTTTCTAAAAAGATATTGTCCAAAAACCTTTGATAGATAATACTAAACTTCCTGCATGGATTAATGGAGTAGAAATTGTGAATAACAATATATTAATTTCTGGTAATCCTCAAAAAAAAGATATTGGAACTGTCTTTTTGGTTGTTTATAGTAAGGATTATTTCATTTTGAGAGAGTTTGAAATCGAAGTAGTTGATCCCAACGTTTTATAAAATGTTGCTATTTCTCTAAAAAGTGATGAAGAAAATCCATATTAGTAAAATAACTAAATAACTATTCCTGTAACCTGTTTAAAAACAATTTAAAAAGAGAAGCTTTTATCAAATTATAAAGATTAAGAAACTGTATTTACTGAGTTTAAATGCTAGCATAGCAATGAATATACTATTTAGTGATTTTTAATAACTTAGTATTATATTTTATTATTATTATTTTTTATGTAATTTAATGAATTAAATTAATATAATAAATAATAATTTATTAAATTTAGGATTTAAGACTATTTTTATTATTCTTAAAATTAAATTTATAATTTTTAAGTACATTTTTTAATAGAATTTTATTAATATATGACTGACTACCCCTCTATGATTCTTGCTATTTTTATAAGTATAAGTTTTTATTAGAAATATTAATATTTGATAATTTGTTTATTAGCTAACACTTTGTGTGATTTCTCTTTGCTCAAAACAAAATTTATAAATTTGTATTTGATAATTTTTAAAATTTTTTATACAAATTAATTTGATATAAAAGTTAATTAATAAATTTATTAATATATTTTTTATTAATTAAATTTCAAAAAATTGATATTTAATATTTTTCAAAAGAAAAAAAAAATAAATGATATAATAGAAAAAATATTTTTACAATCTAGAACAAGTAAATATTAATTTTCATATTAATATTATTTTAATTTATTTTTTTTAATCAAATAAGTTTTTAAGCTCTTAACTTTAATCGTTTTAGGAACTCAATATTTATTTGAAAAATCTGTATATTTATTTGCTCATATTAATTTTATTTATTAATGCCTTTTAAAAATAAAATTTTTATTTTATTTAAAATTTTATTTTCCTAATTTAAATTATCATATTTATTCATTCATTTTTATTTAAAAACTATTTTTTAATTATTTTAACTTAATTTACATTAAATTTTTATCAATATTTAAAAAGATCTAATCCAAATATTTAATAAGGTGTATAAAGCTTAGTTTCTGGTTTAGAAAAGTGCACTAATCTTTCAAATTTGTTACTTGATCTTTAGTAAAAATGGTTTATTTGTTTAGAATTGTGATATTTTTGAATATAAAAATGAATATTTAATAAAATAACTAACTAACACTTTTAATTTATTTATTAGTTTTTTATTTCACTTATTTTATTTTTTTCTATACTGCTAGTGTTTTTTTATTTATTTATTTATTTATTTATTTTATTATTGTTATTTTTCTTCATTTTTTTCCTTCATATTTATTAATTAATTAACTATATATACTTTCTTCAATATAAAAAGTGGAAATTAAATTGGCACATTAAACTTAGGTTGTGGTTTAGCAAAGTGCACTAATCTCTCAAATTTGACACTTAATCTTAAGTAAAAAAAATTTATTTGTTTTTGATTTTGATATTTTTGAATATAAAAATGAATTTAAAACAATATAACTTACTAACTCTTTTAATTTATTTATTTACTTTTTATTTGATTTATTTTTCTTTTTTTTATTTGGTTTGTGTCTTTATTTATTTATTTGTCAATTTGCTAATTTAACTCATTTTTTCATTTTCTATTAACAAATTTCTTAATATTTCATTTTTTTTTTCCTTATTACAATTTAATTCTTTATGTTTTCATCATTATTTAAACAGGTACAATTAAATTGGTGATTAAGGTGCGTCAGGCTTAGGTTATAGTTTAGGAAATTGCAATAATCTCTCAAATCTGACACTTGACCTTTCGTAAAAAATTTTATCTATTTTGTATTGAGATATTTTTGAATATAAAAAAAATTTAAAACAATATTTCTTTCTCTTTTATTTGATTTATTTGTCTTTTTTTAGATTCTACTTGTTTTTTTTCTTTCTTTGTTTATTTATTTATTTAGCTCATTTTAAATATTAAATTTTGCTTTTATTATTAATTAATTAATTTCTTATTATTTCATTTATTTTCTTCATTTCTTCCTTCTAACTATCTAAATACATTTATATTTTTTCTTCAATATATAAAAAGTAATAATTAAATTTGTGTTGATGGTGCGTCAGGTTTAGGTTTTGGTTTAGGATAATGCATTAGTCTCTCAAATTTGACACTTGATCTTTCGTAAAAACAGTTTATTTGTTTTGGATTGAGATATTTTTAAATATTAAAACGAATTTAAAATAATATATCTAACTAACTCTTTTAAATTATATATTAGCTTTTTATTTAATTTATTTTTCTTTTGTTTAATTCTATAAATGTTTATTTATTTTTTAAATCATTTTTTTTTCTTCTAAATTTGCTTTTATTATTAATTAATTTCTTATTTTTTCATTTTTTCATTATAACTAACTAATTAACTACATATATTTTTTTTAATATTTAAAAAGGTATAATTAAATTGGAGCAATCGGCGCATCAGGATTAGCTAGTGGTTTAGGATAGTGCATTAATCTCTCATATTTAACACTACATTTTTAGTAAAAACAATTTTTATTATTTTTGAATATTTTAACAAATTTAAAAGAATATAACCAACCCAACTGACCTTTAATTTATTTATTAACCCTTTATTTCATTTATTTTTCTTTTACTTTATTTATTCTATATTTGTTTTTTTTATTAATTTAAATCATTTTTATTTTCAACATTTTGCTTTTATTATTAATAAATAAATTTATTAATTTCTTATTATTTCAAATATTTTCTTCATTTTTTTCTTCTAACTAATTAACTATATCATAATTTTTTCATCAATATTAAAAAGTGGAAATTAAATTGGTGATATCGGTGTAATTGGCTTAGCTTCTGGTTTAGAAAAGTGTTTTAATCTCTCAAATCTGACACTTCATCTTTAGTAAAAATGGCTTATTTTTTTTGGATTTTGATATTTTTGATATTAAAATGAATTTAAAACAATATAAATCACTCTTTTCATTTATTTGGGGTGGGGGGGGGGGTTGATTTGAGAAACCACTCTTAAAAGCTAAAGAATCTTTAATTTTATTTAAATAACTTATAATCGAATCCTAATGGTGATTATATTCAAAATATACTAGAAAAATGGTAGCATATTAATTTTTATATAAATTTAAGTTTTAAA